TGCTTACATTACTCATGTCCTTACGTATTGGGATTCTTACGGTATTAAATGTGTTGATTTGGAAAGCTTTTGTACAAAGTTATATTGAAAAAAACCGTCTCGTCCTTAATTTTTGCACACCAGTGTATTTGATACCTCGGAATACGTCAGTTTTGAAATACGTCTAACATGGAATACGCCCCGTTTGCATGCGAAAATTTTTATTTGATATACGAATCGAGTTCGATGAATCACGATTGAGTACGCTTCACTTATTTATCTCTTTCGAGACAATGCTACGACTGCTTATGAATGTCAGTACGCTTTTTGGTACTATTCAGTAAATAACTTGCGCTTTGAATTTTAAAGTGTAAATCTTCTATAAATTCATTAACAATGAGTTTTAGGAAAGTTATTAAGAAGAGTATAGACCTGAAGAAAATTGTGAGGATCACTACGGAAGTGAAAAAAAGAGACTGCTGAAAAGTATGAAGGTGGCATGCTTATCCGGAACTTGGCTATTGCATACTGTATGCCGTATGCCAAGTACGAATGTAAATAACACCAAAGACACTATGAAATAGGTTAACGTTGCGAAGGGAATGAAATAGATTACCAAAAAATAAGAATACGTTAGAGTATGTTAAGAAATTCCTTCTGATCTGGATAGCAGAAAAACATTTTTGTACAGTATCACATACTGTGCTACATTTATGTGCTGTATATATTTCAGCGACTGCATTTGATTTGAGTATTAAACAGTGTTATAATAAAAACAGTAGGGTAGTTTTATTAGAACGAATTAATTATTTTCCCTTTATTTCTTACTGTAAAAGTTTGTTTCGTGTACGTCCAAGGATCTGGAAGCGATTATTGACGTATAACCAATATATGTAACCAATATATGTAACCAATATATGTAACGCAAAATAAAATAAAAAATACGTTTAAAATTTATCACATATTCAATTCGTAATAAATCACATGTAAAAACAAAAAACAAACTAGAAGCACACTGGCAAACTGCAAGAAACAGTGGAGCGAAATATGCCCAAAACCAAACGTGAAATATTACACTCATGTCCATAAATTAAGGATAATTCGGAGTCACGCGGAAATCGAACTCTAAAATAAATATATCACCTGTAAAATCACTACACACATATGCAAATTTCAGGAAGTAACCAGATGACACCGATGGTAAGTCACAATGACGAGAGTGTAAGAGAGTGATATATAAGGAATACAGACAAAGAAATAAAATTGTTCTCAGGCGCTTTATAAACATTTCAGTGCAATAACCGAATAGTTATGACACAAAGGACGCATTTGGATGATTTTTTACGGGGTAGAATCATCGGCCGTCTGGAATGTGGGCGTAACCAACTGGAAGTATCAGACGAACTTGGAATTGCCCAGAGTGTCATCTCCAGGCTTTGGCAACGATTCCAAGATGATGGTAATGTGGGTAGACGTTACAGCACAGGTCGATAAAGTTACAACGCCGAACGAGAACCGGTATTTGGCAGTTACTGCCAAAAGAAACAGGCGGAGCACAGCCTCAGACCTGTCTCGTCAGCTCTCTTCAGCCACTGGTACGACAATTTCAAGGCAGACCATGTACAGACGCTTAGGACAGATTGGTCTATATGCTCGTAGACCTGTCAGATGCGTTCCCCTTACTGCAATTCACTCTCGCCTGCGGTTAGCCTGGAGTAGAGAGCATGCATTGTGGACACCATAAGAGTGGGCTTGTGTGATGTTTTCCGACGAGTCCAGGTTTAGCTTGCAGTCTAATTCTCGCTGGACTTTCATATAGAGAGCTCCAGGTACCCGTTACCACCAAGAAAACATCATTGAACGACACCGTTACGGTGGTGCAGGAGTGCTCGTTTGGGGTGGAATTATTCGGGGTTCCAGAACTGACCTGCATGTTCAAATTGGAACCATGACAAGCCAAATCTATCGGGACATCATTCTGGAACAACATATACATTTGTTTCGGGGCGCCATGGGCGCACAATTTGTGTTTATAGATGACAACCCCCGCCCTCACCGTGCAAACATCGTAAGCGAATGCCTTGAATCGGAGGATATCACGCGTATGGACTGGCCAGCATTCTTACCGGACTTGAATCCAGTAGAGCACGTGTGGGACATCGTTGGCCGACGAGTTGCAGCCCGTCAACCTCCTCCTACATGTCTACCGAAACTTCGGAGAGCATTACTTTTTGAGTGGTGAGATCCCCCAAGATCAGATCGATAATTTGATACTCACATGCATAGCGTTAGGCGTTAGGCATGTCGACGAAGTTACGAGTGTCGAGCATCAAGTGCATCGTCTGGGAGACATACAATGTATTAACAATCATACCAACCATGCAATATTGGTTTTTTGTAAATAAGTTTTTTTTGTAATTTGCTCCAGGGAGAAAAAATCGATAATTTTTTAAATAATATCACACATATAGCATCTTTTTTTGCTCTTTACCTTTTGTTTAATAAATAAGTTTTACAAATAAGTCAAATTTGGTTTGCTTCTAACTCTTCCTTTGCCTGATTTTGCATTATCCTTAATTTATGGACATGAGTGTAAATTAACATCTTTCGCTGCATCGTTCATCCCGGGTTTGGATGCTACAAAAGAAGTAAATAAATAAAGTAGCCTATTTCTGATCCGGAAAAGACATAATTATCGTTGTTATGGACAAACACACATATATTACCGGAGTCTCTAAATTGATAAATGAAGGCCCATACTGCTCGATCCCTAAAGATCCTTCAACTTCGGACCTCATGAAAGTAAAAAGTGCTATTAAATCTTCCCACATTCTGCCAACTCACTTGAAGAAATCACTCATTCCGCCTATTATTAATTGCGCTAGACTTTATGCTCTTCCAAAAGTCCACAAAACCGGTATTCCTTTTCGACCAATTGTTTCCAACATAGGTACTGCTTCATATCCTTTGGCCAAATATTTGGTTTCCAGATTTTCTCCTCTACTTGATAACAATATTCACACTGTAAAAAATTCTGTTGAAGTCATTGATAAACTTAAAAATATTTCCCCACTTCGTTCCATTATGGTTTCATTTGATGTCAAATCATTGTTTACTAATGTTCCGGTCCAAGGAGCACTAAATTGTCTTGAAACTAGGCTTCGGGAATTTCACTTCACACATACTGAAATTAATGAGTTGGTTTTCGCTTACTAAAGTTTCTCTAAGTCAAACCCACTTGTTTTCCAAAATGCATATTTCGTCAAGTTGAAGGATTGGCTATGGGTAATCCTCTCAGTCCGGTACTTGCTGACATTTATATGCACTATTTTGAGATGAAATTATTTGATAATTATCTTTTCGTCTTTGGATTCGGTATGTTGACGACACTTTCGCACTTTTTGACGGTTATAAAGAGGATTTATCCGAGATTCTATCTATCATGAATTCAATTGATCCAGCCATCCAATTCACTCTTGAAAATTGAATCCAACAATTCCCTCCCCTTCCTCGATATTCTTATAATCCGCAATGAAACCGATTTTAGCACCACTGTGTACCGTAAACCCTTTGCAGTTTGTTTACCACCCCATGCCAAGTCATGCCACCCTGTTAAGCAAAAAAAAAATGGCTTCTTTTTACTATTATGTTTTCCGCGCGCTAAAAGTTTGTTCCTCTGAATCTTGCTTACCAATGAACTTAATAATATTTGAGAGCAGTTGCGATTGACCGTGGATTTTCTCCCGTGATTATTGATAAAGCCGTCAAAAAATTTTCAGATTCCCATCAAAGAAGACATTCCACTGTTAGAAATAATATCAATGACCTTGTCGTGCTTCCATTTTATCCTTCTGTTAGCTATAAAATTGCACGGATTCTCCAGAAATTCAATTTTCAAGTCGGGTTCTCCCCTATTAATAAAATTCACCCTTCGATTCTAAAGATTGCGTTTCTGTCTTGAATTCTTGGGGAATTTATAGTATATCATGTCAGTGTGGTTTAAGATATATTGGCCAAACAAAAAGAGCGTTGAAGTTTCGTATCAAGGAACATGAATCTTATGTCAAAAAAAGGGGAAATTAACAAGTCTTCAACAGCGTATCATAGCTGGACTTTTAACCATAATTTTGATTTTGGGTCTGCAAAAAAATCATCCAAAAGGCTTCTTCCATAGGCGAATTGGATTTTCTTGAGGCTTTTCACATTCACAAAGATTTAGAAAGTTTAGTTAATGATTTGAAGTCCAATCCAGTCCTTCCTAATGCCTTTAAAATTCTACTGTCTTAATTCAATTATTTGTGCCGATAGATGGCGTTACCTCCTCGCACTTGGTATTACCAGAGGGTATAAAAATCCGTTCAGTGGTTGCTTTCCATTATTTGAAGTTCAGATTTTGAGCGTAATGTGCATTTGCCCCTCGCTCCCTATTTTAACTTCGCTAATATTTCTTTATGCTTGATCAGACAGCCTGGCTCAGTAAAAGTAGGCGGCCAGTGCAACTCTGATTAAAAATCTAGTTATAACCACGTGCAGTGCTGATAAGCACCACGTGTTTCTGTGATTCCTATTTTCTTCTTTCTATGTATTTCTTTCTCCTGATGAGGAGGGACCTTTAGCTGCCCTCGAAATCGATTGAGTGTTTCATTATACCTATGCTAAATATAAGGTTGTTTTTTACGATTTTGACATAAACTAAAGTTAAAAATTTTAAATAATCTTAGGAAAATATTAAAAGTAATCTGTTTTATTGGAAGGTTTTTTGGATAGTTTAGGGCATATTAGCCAAACCTTTGACCATTTGTAGACTTTTGATGCCTCATAATAACATTAGGTGTTTTAATGGCTTTAAGTTTAAAGTTTTACCTCATAAAACATTAAATTAAGCTATTTCGATTTCAGGTTTTCAATATTAATTGTGCTGAATGAATATATTCGGTAATAACAAATTAAATTAAATTTTTATGTTTATTAACAATTATCTGCTTCATGCTGCGCGATAATTTTATGAAAATGCTTTTCAGAATTTTGGAGAAAATTGCCAGTTTAAAAGTAACTGCTGAAGAAACTGTATACAAGCGAAAGTTATTACACTGTCTTGATCAACGAATTCAGGTATTTAATTTGAAATTTTTAATATATCAAGTTGTATCAGTTATTGTCTTGATTATATATCGGTATTCGGGAGAAGAAAATAAACTTCATTTTAATGAACAGATTGTGGATATCCTATTAATAACACATCATGTTACTTTTTTATTGCTGTCTTTGCACCATAGCTTTTAGTTGATTGTAAGGTTGTAGGGTAACCGGAAGATTGTGTTTAAGTCCTGCTGACCTTACTAGATTGATAGCGAATTATTCCTGAATCTGAAACAATCAAATGTCGGAAAGTCGGAAAGATAAAATAATCTTTTTATTTAATCTTAAAGTGCACAGAAAGGCACGGCTTGTTCTATAAACGAACGTACGCTACTTTCGGGTATTTAAATTAGCATAACAAAAAGTTAAATTTTAAATGTAGATATCGTAGTCGGATATTACACAAAAAATAGGCTAAGTAAAGTAGCTCAAATATTCAGCTGCGCATATTTTTAAACGTCGGCTAGCAAGACGCTAAAGCCAGAGTACAACTTAGGCCTAGCTGACGAAAGCTAAGTAACAGCAAGACTTGGCTACCAGAAGCTCTAATCTAAACATTCAGCTTAAATGCAGGAACAACTAATTTAAGTTCTAGTAAAGACTACAGAAAGGAAAAGTTATAATAAAAGCTTAAAACCTAATGGCTAATTAACATAAAATACTTTACTTTACATATTCTATTAGATCCAACAAAACCATGCAGCAAAATGCTATTAAAAATTTACCTGCACTCTTCAATAATTTGATTTAGAACTTAAGCTCACTTAGTTCTGTAAATTAAAAATCGACATTTAAAGCAAGGACACACTTCAAAAGAGAAACAACGTTTTATATATACTATATGTATATACATATATTATATTAGTCTTATATTTCGATAAGAGTCAATGGGAAACAGAAAATTAATGCATGTGGACTTAGCTTATTTTTAACGGATGGTTTGTTACTTCTTATCTATTCCAAATTGTATACAATGAAATTACGTGCTGTTATGGATAAAAACAATTCTTAGATATTGCGATATAATCTGCTGTAACTATTTTTATCCCGTGCGTTTTATCTTTTTGTATTTCTGTAAAAGTTTTGTGTTATTCTCAAGGTTTGTGACAGTAATTTTTTTCATCGCTTTGCAATAAACAAACTCAACTTTTTCCTGACAAAGCCTGGTTAATCTGCCTCCTGTTAATCAGGAATTGACTATAATTTATTTTAAGATTCTATGAAAGCGTAAATGCATAACAAGTAAAAAAATAATGTTCATAAATATATTTTTTTGACGCAGTGTGAAGTGAAGAACTGGTTGACGAAAGAATTGGAGAAATTAAAGCTCTCTGGTAAAAGCACAGTTTTGAAGGATACCGAAACCTTGACGAAAATCGTAAAAGATTTAAAATCGTATGTGACCATGGCTATTGACGTCACTGCTTCTGAGGGAACGCTATTCGAGGATACCGGAATATGCTACTTCGAAAGTGTGTCTCAAGCTGTGGATGAGAAGGTAAAATTAAATAATCTTTTTTTTTTCTTTTCATTCAACATTAATAACACCCCAATACATGTGGATAATACGTCCCAAAATTTAAACCCCATTATCTGATACGGCAGATAATATCAAATCCTCTGTATAACAGGATCCTTATTTAACATTCATAAATGCGATAAAAGTTTAGTTGATTAATTACGCATAGTTCAGAATTTGTCAGTATTACACGACATAACAAAATATGCATTGCAAGCTGCATTTGAGATGCACTTCCTGTCTTTTTCTTGCATGAAAGTAAGCGATTTTGAGGCTTTAGCTTAATTATCAAGCTATAGGTTAGGTTATTGGAAAATGGCAAAGCACACGAGGGCTGCCTGTCTAAAAGAAGAGATGCTTTCATAGAATACTTTTCTGAGGGAAACTGGTTCGCACTCACGTTACTTAAAGGGAGAATTACGAAAACTAACCACGCAGCAAGCCTGCTCTCCTGAGACTGGTCACGACTCGAACTCCAAGATTTTAAACGCTCGGCCACTCGTGGGAATGACAAGCAGTAATAATACAATGAAAAATTTTATATTGAATCTTATCATATACGATTTTAAGGTATAACAGAACAATAAAACATATATTAGGCAAAGAAACAGTCTTATGTTGGCGTAGATTTTATTCAAGACTCGATTTCGAAGGCAAAGAGAAATAGGTCCCTCTTCAACAAAGGTAAAGAAATCTGCAACGAAGGGAAAGCCACTTTGTATTTATACCCAAAAGGAGTAAATCTAAGAAGAAGTTAGTTCCATCTGGCGGCAGAAACAGAAATGAAAATTGAAAAATATGTTAGTAGAATTTTAGAAGCGTTAGGAATGACTGGATTGAAATTAGGCATTGACTGAACAAGATAAAACTTGTGAATGTGAAAAGCTTTAAAAGTTTTCAATATTTTTTGCGAAGTCAAAATTATTATTAAATTTCTAAGTAGGATTATAACTTAGCCTTTTTGGGCATACAATTCATGCATCTTGATGCGTAATTTTAACGCTCTTTTAGTTTGACCGTTATATCTCAAACCACACTGGCAAAAAGCTCTTTTCATTGGTGAACTAGATTTTCTTGAAGCTTTTCACATTCATAGAGAATAATCTTGTCCAGGTAATGATTTTAATTCCAATGTAGACCTTCCTAAAGCTTTTAAAATTCTGTTAACTTAATTTTTCAATATTCGTTACGATTTCTGCCAACAGATTGCGCTACCTTCTAGTTTGATTTACTCCTTTTTGGGTATAAATATAACCCTGTCCTCTTCGTTGTAGATTTCTCTGCTTCTGATGAAGAGAAACCAATACCTGTTTGTCTCAGTCTAGAGTCTTGACTGAAATCTACACGCAACCCAAGGTTGTTGCTTTGCATAATTTCATGTTTTACTTTTGCGTATTTATCTTCTTTCTAGAACAATAAAAAAGTATGTTTTACTTTTGCGTATTTATCTTCTTTCTAGAACAATAAAAAAGTATGTTTTACTTTTGCGTATTTATCTTCTTTCTAGAACAATAAAAAAGTATGTTTTACTTTTGCGTATTTATCTTCTTTCTAGAACAATAAAAAAGTATGTTTTACTTTTGCGTATTTATCTTCTTTCTAGAACAATAAAAAAGTATGTTTTACTTTTGCGTATTTATCTTCTTTCTAGAACAATAAAAAAGTATGCTTTCCATCAGAGGTCTGCGTAAGCAGTGAAAGTCTCTAATAATCTTTGCGTATTTATGCTTCAGTAGAATTTTTCATGGGAAAATCGTATGAATCTCATTCGAGCTATTGTATTTCAACGTTTTGTATCCGTGCATGTTTTTTAACGAATAAACGCTTTATATTTTTAATGTTAATGTTTCTTTTCACCGCGATAAGTCGCAAACAACTGAGATATCAATATATTCATTCAGCAGAAAAGTGACATGGCAATGCATGTGTTGATTTCGAATTATTTCAACAAGGAGTTGACAACTTGTTAAAAATGTCATAATCTCCTTTCAGTGTTTAAAAAAGAAAGGGAAAGCATGTATTTCATACTTTGGAGAAGAAATAGAAATTATTGATTTTCGTTATCGTTATGAAAATTTCTCTTCTTCATTTTCTGCCTCTCTTCTACTTCTAATTTTTGTACTTTTATTGAAATTTCATCGATTATATCGAAATGATGGAAAGAACTACGCATTCTTGGTAGAGATTACTTGAAACATTTCTGCGTTAAGCTAATCTCCACATTTTTGTTGGCATGTGTAAAATACAAGGTATCTCAATATAGCTAAATTTCTTGACCAAAAGTATACATAGTATTTTTAATTAGGTAATATGCTAAAACTTAACACTTTCCACTCGAGAGGTGACTCTCAGTTATCACTCAGTTAGACGTGATAATTCAAGCTGTAACGATGTTTATTTAGGTTTGTCTTGGGCACTATCACTTCATGAGTGTATTCAACAATACCTGCGTATAAAACAATTGCCAGTCTTAAATCTTAAATACTTTTTTTTTTTTTTACATTTATTATTATATATGCGTCTTCGATGTTGGTTCGAACTCAACATTTGTGGCAACAGGGAAACTATTTTCGAAGAGACCAGTAAGCATGGAACACGATGAAGGAAACAGTTCAAATGAAAATCAGTTCGAATTTTCATTAAAGAAGAAGGAAATTACGTCTATACATAAAGATTTGACATTAGAAAGGAGAAAAGCAATAATGAATTTAGTGATGAAATAAGAGGTGTAAGAAGGCGAAATATCAGCGCTAATAGATAGTATATGCATAGACATGTATAGATAATCTAAGTATAGATAATCATATGCATGCAATATTTATATGAAAGCGATAGTGATTCCGCAGAACGTACAGAAAATTCAGATTGGATAACGTGCACAAAATCCGAAGAACTACCGCAAAGAATACTGTTTGTATACAATGAAAGAGCCATAGGACGTAAGTACGTTTTCAGAGATAAAAGAACCATTAGATTTCTGTAAAGTCATTTTAAAGTTAGCCGTAAAAAGTTCACCAGATGTGGAAAATCGTCTCGAGTTGTTGATTCTCCTGAGCGAAATGGCCCTCGAGTGCAAAAGTTAAATTACGTAAAGTATTAAATTTTGACTCAAACTTTTGCATAAGTAAACTGTAGATTTATAAAAGTTCGCTTTTTGGTAGATTTTATTGATTTATATGGAATTTCAGTTTCATTTTATGCTTGAGTTTATTGATAATAAAGACTAATGAATGTTTTACTAACAAACACTTTACAGTTCTGAAATGAATTTTCTATAAAAAGCAAAACAACAACAACAACAACAACAAAAAAAAAAAAAAAAAAAATCTGAAATTTTTCAGATTTTAAATTACGTCCAAAGGGGCGTTTTTTTAACGTTTTGAGTGTTACCTTTATTTATTAAATATCATGTTCTTTGCACTTAAACCATAAAATTCAGTTCAACAGCAATATCGCAAAATAATGTTAAATTAAGCATATCTTTAGAATTTCCGATATACACAGTCTCGCGAGCTGGAGATAAAAGTATTTTTTTTTCTATATAACGTTGCCATTTCTCGATTTTAAAGCATTGAGTTGTAAATCAAAAAATTCGTTAAAGTTTTACAAAATATAAAATCTATAATAAAACAAATTCCAAATTTGGGATTTCAGATGCCCATATTCGCAGTAGGATTTCGTTCATTCAAAATTCGATGGCTCTATGTACCATTGTTTTATCACAATGCGAGAAAAATAGACAATCATTTATGCAGATTTTTCATTATTTAATTTCTTCAAATATAATGCAGGACTCTAACATTTTTGTGGCAACAGTTTGAAAAGTGAACCGACGTTTATGAGTCCGACGCAAAATGCCAAAACGAAAGCAATAGTCCTTCGGGACTGAAATTCCTTTGGACTAAAAAAAAGATCTGAAATGTTTCAGATTTTAAATTATGTCCAAAGGGGCGTTTTTAACATTTTGTGTGTTACCTTTCTTTATTAAATATCATGTTCCTCGCACTTAAACCATAAGATCCAGTGCAACAGCAATATCGCAAAATAGTTTTAAAACGAGCATATCTTTAGAATTTCCCATACAGAGACTCACGCGCTGGAGATAAAAATGTTTTTTCTGCACAACGTTGCCATTGCTCGCTTTGAAATCCTTGAGTTTGTTAATCAAAAATTCGTCAAAGTTTTAAAAAATAGGAAATCGATCATAAAACAAATTTCAAATTTCAAATTTGGTCTTCCACATGCTCATATTCGTTGGAGGATTACGTTATTCAAAATTCGATGACTCTATGTACCGTTATTTTATGACAATGTGAGAAATATACATACATTTACGCAGATTTTCATTATTTAATTTCTTTCAAATATAATACAGGACTCTAACATTTTATGGCAACAGTTTGAAAAGTGAACCGACATTTATCCGTCCGACGCAAAATGCCAAAACGAAACTAATAGTCCTTCGGGATTCAAATCCCTTTGGACTAAAAAAAAAAAGGCTACTCTGCTTTTCTGTTAGACATTACTTTTAAACCAGTTAAACATTAGTTTTGCAAAAGAAGGAGCATATCTTCCGATAGCACTGACATTTCTACCAGGAACGTCTCTGTACTTTCCGGTTTTCCATCTAATCATAATCCAGAAAAATGTTACACGAAATATTAAAAAATATTTCCGAATTCTCTAGTGGCCAAATGGATAAGATGATTGAACATTAGTATTTAATCCTGCATTCGGCTGCTGATGAACAAGTTGACTGTACGTCATTCGTAATTTTCTGCAGGTGTAACATGAATATGAGCGTGTTTCCTTAGAAGGTCTTGTAGGAAAGTATCTTCATAAGCCCTTCTATTTTTTTTGCTTAATGAATTATTCACCAAACTTCTAGATTTGCTCTCTTGAATATGAAACATGAGTTGAGTGTTATACTGCCATTTAAGAAACTCAAGAAACTAGCAGAATAAATGTGAGAGGGAAACATAGCTTGAGAATGAGTTAATGATTCGGCGATTTGTGTGTTCGTACTCCTTCAGGGCATTCACATGTTTCTGGCAAGAGTTGGCAAAATTTTATAAGGTTTCAGGTAAAACGAGTAGTCACGATCCTATAGATGGCGGAATGAGATGGATAATTGTCGGTAGATTAGAGGCAAATCACAGGCCAGGGGGCTACAGAGCTCAATGAAGCGCCAGTTTCTTCTACAATTCGTAGAAACAGTTTCAGGACACTAAATGCATATCGAAAAGACCTGGACAAGTTCAACCAAATTCACAACGACAAATGAGGGTCGTTATTTGGCACTTTCAGCGCGGCGATCAGGACAGCTACAGCTTCACAACTTTCACATGAGCTACATGCTATATGACGCACGAGCTATATGACGGTTTGCCGAATAACAACACACTGCTGTTAAACCACCGAGTTTATTAGTCAAAACATCTTTAAATTCTCACAAAACATGAAATAAATGTAAACAAAATCGAAATTCAAAATTGAGCTCCGAGGCGTACTTGTTTGTATGGAGTAATACCGTATGCATAAAACCTGATGGCTGTAGGTGCCACCCATCTTTCCACAAAGCGATGAACATACGCACATATGTGCATACCTGTGTACATACATGCATGCCTGCAAACATACAAACATGTTTTTAAAAGGCACAGTTTACTTCCATTTCTAATTAAAGCAATATTATATTTCCTTTACTGGCTCAAATGAGCATTGTATCAATATTTAACATCGCTTTGCTCTTTGTTGCAAAATTTCATATGTATCATTTATTATTCCAGGAAAAAAATAATTGTGTTTTGGGTTTGATTACTTTAATCTATATTCTACGCAGATTTGAAAGTATTTATATAATCCAGCATTTGTAAACTTTTAATTGCGTTATTTATTCGTTACAGCTCTATCCAGTATGTCAAGAAGTTATGGAATCTATGGATGTCTACCAACAGTGTCACCAAAGCTTCCACGTCAACATGCGCGATAGTTGTGCGGCTTCTCATGCTTTATACCTCCAACTCAAGAAACTGGTCCATTTCTTAAAATTTCCTCAAAAATCGTAAGTTTTTGGATTTTTGAGTAAAAACCTGTAGAGCTATTAGGTATTTTTGAAGCACGTCAATATGCGCGATAATTGTGCGGCTCGCATGCTTTTTACCTCCAACTAAAAAAAAATGGTCCATTTCTTAAAAGTTCCTCAAAAATCGTTAAGTGTTTTGAATTTTTGAGTAAATACCTGTAAAGCTATTAGGTATTTTTGAAGTACGTCAATATGCGCGATAACTGTGCGGCTTCGCATGCTTTTTACCTCCAACTGAAGAAACTGATCCATTTCTAAAAATTTCCCCCAAAATTGTAAGTTTGTGAATGTTTAGGTAAAAACTTGTAGAGGTATTAGGTATTTTTGAAGCAGGAAGTTGAAGAAATTAGCAATGCCCTCGCCGAGACGGGAACCTCGGACCTCTCGAATACGCGCCGATAGTGTGCTGACCCATTACAAAACGAAGGCATGCTAAGAAGGCGGAAGAAATACCTTATAAACCTTTATTTTAATACTTTTGCTTCAAATATTTATTATGACTGATATTAAAGTAAGCAGAACTTTCCACTTTTACCATTCTTTTCTAGTCCTAAACCTCTGAAGTTGGAAGACTATAACAGCGTGTTTGCTAAAGGCTTCATGAATTTACTTCAAGTTTTACAGTCAGAGTGTCACAACAGGATTAAAAGAGCATTTGAAGCCGAAGCTAAAGTACGTTATATTTTATTTAGTAGCTTCATTCATTATCCCTTTTATCTGGAAAAATGGAATCATACTATTTATCATATTTTCTTTTATCTTTTAAAGGATATTGGAACGAACGAAGAAAAAATTCTCAGTTCTTCTGTGATCGCTCTCAACTGCATCTGTACGGTAAGATCACTGATCCCCATTGGCGGGTTTTCCGGTCGCCCCATTTGTGTAAAGCTTTCAGTTTAATAAATTTTTAATTAGATAAATTTTTAATCAATAAAGAAATAATATATAATTAATTAAGGTGTAACAAATGAAACGTTTTAGGCTATTTGTATATGTTTAATATAACAAATGAGGTACTTTTCCGTTTTGCCGGCGCAAGCGATAAAGTCGCCAATAATGGTACAACCGATGCCAAACGAAATATTCTCGCTGGTAACCTTTTATGCCTCATTTTCAAAACAAGTCGCAGCTTTTTCTTATCAGACTGATTGTTTCTTTCAATACCGGCTACATAGAATTATTATCAGATAGTTCAGTTTTATGTCTAAGGTCATTTTCGGTAATTAAGTCAATTAGGATGCAATCACAGCGCTCACCCGAAGCCGAAAATATAGAAAAGGTAAAGTCAAGGGTTAAATTCATCAATTCTAATGAGAATGCATTAGCCAAGTAAAGCACTGCAGTTTTACATAATTTCTGAGTAAGCTATTCGTACGAATTGAAATATTTCTTGCATTTAAACTTGTGAGTAAGATTTAACTTGAAATTAATGTAGATAATTACTGAGAGCATTAGATTTTTGTAGAGTAGTTTACGTGAGATGAGATCGCTTGTGGTCGCGTGATATGAACCGGCGAATCAGGATGTTGAACCATAAAAGCATAGTAAATTCTTAAATTAATATCTTTTTACAAATTTATTGTCTTTATTTATTGGCTTTTTATAAAATTTTAAGCGATATTAAAATGTTTATGCCTTTAAAAAAAAAAAAAAAAAAAAAAAAAAAAAAAAAAGAGAATTCTTAGAACTAACATTTTTTTAATATTTTTTATGTGTATACTGTATGTTGTCGCCAATAAAGTCTGCTTGGCGAGATTTGCGCCGGCGAAACGGAAAAGTACCACAAAGGATTTAACCTACTCTTTTAAATTCATTACAGTTATGAGCGTCTAAAACCTGTTAAAACAGCTGAGGGAGTTGTTTGTTTAAATTTGTAGCTTCTTTTTTTATATATTTTTCTGTTGAAATATTTTTCTTTTTAATTTATTTAGTGATGTATGAATTATTCTAAGGTTTTACAGCTTATAAAAGCTAAGAGTGTAACTAAACATTTGTAATGCATATTATTTAAGTAATAAATTCTATGTAAATGCGACGTTTCGTAAACGGGTCAAAAAAGACAGAAGTCTGAGAAGATTAACCCTTTTGTATTCGATGTCTTTTCGCTCGGGCAAACCAGCAATTCAAAAACGTTTTCCGTATATTTTGTGAATATTTTACAGCTAACGTTTTCGCAGAAATCTAATGGTTCTTCTGTGTGTAAAGATACTTGCCGTCCTGCGGTTCTTTCACTGATACAAACGGTATTATTTGCGGAATTTCTTTGGATTCTGTGCACGTTATCCATTCTGAATTTTCTCTTTCTTCTGCGAAATCATTGTCCCTTTTTCATTAACTATTTATTACCTGAGTTTTCGTCTTCTTACACCGCTGAAGTTTCATCGCTATCTTCATCACTGCTTTCCTTCTCTCTATCCTCAATTAGTGTATGCATAGACGTAATTTTGCTCTTCGTCCACAAAAAATTCAACTCATCTTCACTTGAACTGATTCCTTCATCATATTCCATTCTTAATGAGCTCCATAACTTTGAAAGTAATATTCCTATTGCCAAGATTGTCGAGTTCGAGCTAACGTTGAAGATGCATGTATATATAATAAACATAAAAAACGTTTTTATGGTTAAAGACTGGTAGTTGTTTTATACCCATATGTTGTTGAATACACTCATGAAGTCATATGGCGGAAAGGAAAGCTTAAACATCGTTACCGCTTGTATTTTCTCGTCAAACAGGAGTTGTGGAGTCACTTCTCGTGTTACAACATCAAATCAAGTGAAGACCGAGAATCACTTCTCGAGTGAAAAGTGTGTGTGTGTGTGATTATGGCAAAGCCTCGAGGGCTATCTGCCTAAGAGGAGGGATGCCTTCGTGGAGGACTTTCTAAGGGAAACTGGCTCGTATACACGTTACACATGGGGAAAACCACGAAAACGCCCATGCAGCCAGCCCGTTCGCGGGATTCGAACCTCGGACCGAACTACCAGTGTTCAGCGGCTTTACCGCTCGGCCGCTGGTGGGCACTCGAGTGAAAAAGGTTAATATTGTGAGAATATCATCATGAGGAGGAATACATAATTTTATATGCAGGATAATGTATTCGTACTTTTAAAAGGAAAGAACTCTACTGACTGAAATTTCGTTCGCTATTCATTGGGGAACTCCATTCTATAAAAAAATAAACGGTGCACATTCAGTGCACATTTCGGAGCATGCGAGTTTTTATTTTATTATCTCTTAAGCTATTAGATTATTTATTTATATTAATTACTTTTATAACATGTAAATTTAAAAAAAGAGCAACTGACAAACATACTGTTAACATGAGGGTTTCAGTTTATGAAACTGTTATAAATGAAGAAAGGTTAAAAACCACTGTCCTGGAAAGCAGTTTGACAATTATTAAGGTTTGAATTGTAATCTGCATGTGTTCCCGTGTAATTCGATTTCTAGTCAATTAATATGATCTTAGAATGATTGTAGTTTCGGATTCAACTTTAGCAATACAATGTGAGATTTGCTTACATAAATATTTTTTTCCCTTGTACGATTCTTAGTTTTAATAAAACGTAATAAGAATAAAGATCAATAAAGTTTGTAGAAACACTTGATTTAAAACAAATAGATGCCATTTAACAGTTTACAAAGAAAGAACGTTTCTAGTGAATAGAATTAATTTGTTCACAGAACTTTTACGTCTATTTAAAACCCTTATCATCTTTTAAATAATCTGCACTAAGCTGAATTTAGCTCAGCGGCAACAACATGGTTTAATGCACAGCCTAAACCTTGAAGAAAGGCAATCTAAATTCTAAGATGAAGGGTATTATGTGACAGAATGTCAGAAGATAACAATACCTGAAGCTAAAAATTATTTTTTTAAATAATCAAGTTTGTAATCCACCTCTGTATAATATTAAACATTTTAACATCTTGTTTAGGATGTGTTGTGCTTGAGAATTCATTATCACTTTCTACAATATCTTTAAACATATGCACACATAGATGAATACGTTATATTATTGTATTATGCATTTTTATAGATGTTTTAAATACATTCTGTCCTCTGGATAAATGTATAAAGCCAGAAGTAGGGCTGCTGCCCAGCCTGTGGCACATTTTGCTTGAGAATTTTCTTTCATGTAGTTCAAATTAATTTTTAATTAATTAATGTGAGTTTTCAAACTGATGTATTTTTATTTTCTCCAGTAGGTGATTGATGAATGGAAACATATGGAAATAGAAGACGAAGACCTCCAAATTGCATTTCTTGTTAAAGTAGCTGATGTATATTACCAAACTGATCTCTTTCTCTTTTTAATCGGCACAGCTTAAAATAATGCTATTAACTTACGCGGGTGAAATAAATCGAATTGATAATTTAAAATGCTATCATTTTCTCGTTTATGCTCATAATTTCATTTTTTAAAATATAACTTTCATGACTGGTGAATGTATAAGAAAGTGATGAGAGCGCTGGTTATTGTATATTATTAAAAGTATATTCTTTCTGCATCAATATATATACTACATGATGAATATAGCTTTTCAAAGCTCTATTAATCGACCTTCTTGAAAAAAAAGGAGAAAACTCTTGATTATCCATCAAACGGTTCTCTTTCAGCTTCAGCTTCAGTTTAGGGAATAGATACTAGTTTGCCGAACAAAAATCTCTTAAAGTATTTTACAAAAGATCCTCAAGAGGCCACAACCTAACCAAGTCTTTGACGGATGATACAGTCTATTGTCATGTAATCTCTTACATGATCTCGAAAAAAATTAAGGAATTCTAAGCTTTAAAAAGAATTCCGAATAACTAGACTTCTCAAGGAAGAACTTCTGTGAATGTTTCAACTAAAATCGAAGAACATAATAAGCTTCGTCTTGGTGCGGAACTTCTACAGGCACATTTTTGGGGGGATTGAGGGGGATGGAGGTGTTTCACACATGCGAACCTAATTCTAGAAATCAGTAGTTTGTATTGAAAATATCATGTTTCATCCTTAGTTACAATAATTTTAAGAAACTTGGATCTCCTCTTTGAAACCCCTATCAAATATCTGCAATGACACTTTCCTTTGTGTCTAGTCTTCGATAACCAAACTCTAATTTTGGTGGGTAGACTAAAAGTAGTAGGGGAAAAAAGAATAGTTATATGAAACTGAGTTTCTCCTAGATTCTCCACTTGGATTCCTGGGCTTTGCAACTTAAACGCAATATTTAACAGATTCTTCACCACAATGCGACACATAGAAGTTTTTCTTACTCCAGTTAAGGTTACCAGTGAGTCTTATTGATACATATGTATCAAACAGAAAAGTTTGGCGGACTTACATCTTAATTTTCGTGGTCGTTCTGATATCGTTTAAGGAATTAAAAAACATTCGAACAAGTCAAAATTTCTTCGCCGTAAACATTTTTATTATATCTTTGAATTCGTTATAGATTGTGCTGATTTATAACAAAATTTGGTATTTCGTCACTGCTGCTTCTTATATTTTGACGTGATTGCTTCTGCAACACTAATTTGTTAAAACCATTTTGAAATTAACCCAGAAAAATAAATTCAGGCTACTTCATAAAATAGTATACTGATTACGGCACAATTTAGTCGCGACCGCAACACGAATGCTAAAAGTTATAGAACCACTGTGGGTTAGATTATATATAAAAGGCTAAATTTACTCGACGACACTACTTATTAGGGTTAAAAAGAAAAGTAAACAACACAAATAACCTGGTGCCTTGAATTTCTACACACAAGCTTCCTTCAACTTCTTTAAATTCAAACAATTTAATTTATCGCTTCCAGAGGAATTCCAACTTCGCGTAAGATCGAGACAAAGACTCAAACGTTCAACTTACCAAAGCCGAATCTATCGTTGCTCTATTATTTAATTTAATACAGCGTTGGAGTCTCCAATAGACAAGGAAACTTTATTATACGGCAACGCACTAGAGGCGAACAGACGAAAACTCTCATATGCAGCGATTCGCAGTTCTTTTAACTTTGTAGTAAAATTTTTTGCCTCTGAAATTAACTAATACAATTTAAAATCTTATTGCACTACAATTTTAACTAAGCTTTGAATTTTATTGAAATTGCATATCTGAGCATACTTAGAAATATTTGTACCATAAAATTTAACAGAATATTTGTATTATGAAAGAAAAATCACTTGTTGTAACGATTAAAATCTGCATTTAAACTGTTTACCTATTAAACAATCTTTAATTTTCTTATTCGAAATCATACAGTACCGTCAAGTTTCTTTTTTGACCGTATTGCAATAACTTAATGTAAATTTGTCATTCTTTTGCCATTTAAAAAGTCTTCACAATATTTATGAAATTTATTAAACCATAAACTACTTGATATTTTAGTTCTTTTATATTAGTGTTTAATCGAGACTAAATTGCACTTTTCTACTTTGATACATAAATATTTAGCTTTATTTAGTTATTCAGTTTCTAAGCGAAGAAGCATACTAGTCGTATGATACTAGACGTAACGTTGCATTTACAGTAAAGATTAATAATGTGCCCATATATGCAGTAATTGCATTTGAAATTTTAAAGTATAAATGTTAAGGTTATTTTATTGTTTTCGATATACTGTTTCTAATGATTATGCTTGATGATGTTTCTGATCTATTAAATTTCTTCGTAGATTGTTTGCGATGGGGCTAAAATATTTGCTGAAGCATTGGAACATAAACTTGAAGTTTCAAAATTACAACTAAAGGATTTAGAGTTTACTAGAAAGGTAAGATTGCGCAGCTAGAGTACAACTAGAGTTTCCAAAAGTTAAGCAATAAACGGAAAACTGATAAGAACTCAAAAGATGTGCAAGAAAATTGGACAAAACTTGGTGGTGATAATATTTATTACACCACTTAAAAATTGAAGAAAATATTTTGCAGAGTATTTACATTTTGTTATATAAACTGGAACGTAAAATCTCTAAATTCGAATGTAAAAATTAACACAGAAAAAATTTTAAATAAGAGTACCATCATTCCGATAAAGGACTACAATACAGGCCTGACAACATCTCTTACTGTTGATGATGTTGACAATAGGCTGCATGGTAGCAAGGCCCATGGATCACGTAAAGCAGTTCTAAGCCATTTTGGGGTTTGGGGAGGGAGTTGGAGCCAGTGACAGGGTCGAGAAAATGTGCTGGAGTCATTTGGACTATAATTTCTTCTTCAAGAAATTGGCGCACGAGGCAGTGTGAGGGCGGGTATTATCTGTTTGTAAAATGAAGGCAAAAAATAGTAAACAAGTAAAGAAAGGGGCTAATCTTTGGAATATGGTAACAGGTAGTTTGGCGACATTTTGGTAAGGCGATAAAGGTTACTAGCTAGGACTTTAGCAGTGTACATGCATAAAGTCAAGAGTGTGTGCAATGCCATTTTTGTGCAATTCTGGGTTGTTTTTTTAAGTGAAAATAGGTCGACGTGTACATGGATACCGTGTATGTGCAATTCTTAAAAACTCGGCAAGCAGTGGGCGATTCTGCACTTTCTTCCAATTTCGCTCCTAATCTTCGTCATGATTAAACACTTTTGTTCCATAAAAGTTCTAGCATAAGCGTAATCCGGCTAGCAGATTGTTGGAAAAAAAAAAATGTTTAGTAAAAAAAAAAAAAAAAAAAAAAAGCCTTTATTTCGTGAAAACAAAATACCGTCAAAAAAAAAAAAAAAAAACTAGCAGGTTGCTGTAGCAAAGTTGGTCGCCAAATTTTCGCCAAAAAATCGCCAAGTTACCATAATCCGAAGATTAGCCAAGAAAGGTTTTTGTTACTTCAAGTGAAAAAGCTTTAGAAGATAGTTACCTAGTGAGCATAAGAATTGCCAAGATTGGGCAGGCTCACACTATAAGAAGAAAACCGTACATTACCAGAAGCTAAAGATATCTTTTTAACATTATTCAATGAAAAGCGGCTAATGATCGTAATAATTCTGCTATGAAATGATACATAAAGTCGACGAATTCATGAAATGGCAAATTCCATAACAGAGACACTTATTCAAAAAATAACACACCTTAAATATTTTGGATTGCAGTTGGATGAAAATACTGATATAACGAACTTAAATCTGTTATTAGTTTACATACCTTTCGAAGAACATAAAGGGAATTGCCGAGCAGCATGTTTTTTGACAATCTCTTCATGATAGAGCAACTGAAAATGAATTTTTCAAAGTAATTGACAGTTTTAGGTCTGAGAATGATTTTCCTTGGAATAACTGCATTGCTGTATGCAGGGACGGAGCTCGGTCTTTAACAGGAAAACATTCCTGTGTTATTTCTTAAATAAAAAAAGTAGCACCTGAAACTAAATTTGCTCATTGCCTCCATTCATCGTGAAGCTTTAACACCCAAACCAATGTCCCAAAACCTAAAATTGTTAATATTATTAAAAGCCGAGCTTTAAATTCAAGAATATTCATGATTTTATGCCAAGAGATAAGCAGTGAACATGAAACACTTTTGTTATGTTCCGAAGTAAGGTGGTTATCCAGAGGCAAACTTTTAAATCACCTTTTTGAACTTCGATCGGAAATTAAAATTTTTCTCGATAATTCAAATTTGAATTGCAAAAATGTTTGTTTGATGAATTATAGTTGGCGTGTTTAGCATATTTAGCCGATATTTTTGGAAAGTTAAATCGATTAAATTTAGAATTAGAAGGACAATGTATTAATCTGTTTCCCATTAGAGATAAAATAAATGAAATGATAAAAAAAATTGAGCTAATAATCAAAGAATTGGGTAATAATTTTTTAAGGTTTTTAGAAAGCTTTCTAATCGAGAATAATTTGAAAATGAAAGAAGGGTTAGCATCTGACATTAAGAATACTTGTTTTCCATTGATAAATACTTTCAACATGTAGTTTCCCGAGGATTATGAAAAAGAAAATTGGATTAGAAATCCAATTTTGTTCAAATGTACCTGTAATTTTATCTCGTGAAGAAAAAGAACAAATGATAGAAATTTCCTGTGATCAAACCCTGACAAAAAAAAAAAAAAAAAACAACTTTTGGTTGAACTGAAAAAAATATTTAAAGGCATTTCAAATAAAACTATTAAATTTTTATTGCTTTTATGCAAAACCTAATGTAAACAAGCATTTTCTTCCATGTCATGTTTAAAAAATAAATACAGGACAAAATTAAAAGTGGATTCTAATTTACAGTTAAAACTAAGCGAAATAAGTTCAGACTTAAGGAATTTGATGTCTTAAACAGGCCAAAATTTCGCATTAAATTTTAGAATTAAAGTATTATTACCTAAATCAAAATCTTAAAGATATTTAATATGGTAACCAATTTTTAATCTAATATTTTTTATGTGTGCATCTTTAATACGAATAGCCAGTTGTTCAAATGGCAAAATATTTTTTTTAATATTTCTATTGAGAAACTGAAAAATAATCATTGTAAAACATAATGGTGGGACTGAAGTTTTTCACCTTTTGTTTAGATCGTATGTGTTAGTCAAAAGGTTGAGAACCGCTGGCTCAGAGTATTGAGAGATCATTGTGCGAGCTTACACGTATGAAGCGTTTTGTATTGTTCTATGTTCTTAATAGTTTCAAGAGGGAACTACGTATTGTACTCTGCCATACTAAGAAGAGCTACACGAGTATTTGTGCGAACTATTTCAGAGCTGTATTGTGTTTTGGAAAAATAAATTTCATCAAGCTATCATCGGTTTTGTGTGCATTTAATCCATCACGAACACCTACGCACGTAACAGTTCTAATGATATATAAATATATGGTTAATAATATGTTATTTTTATGCAGAGATTTCTTGAAGCACGATTACAAAAAGAAAATGGCTAAGCAATGCTGTTATAGCCAATGATATCTCCTAATACTTTTAACGATAATGATAGAATAATTTTATTCCCAACTCAGAAAATCACGGTTATTTGAGAATGTCCAATGCATGTTTATTGGAATAAATACAAGTATTAAAACTGAAGCACTTAACTCTGTCAACGGAAGTTTCTGACCTGAAAAGATAAGCTCTTATCTAGTTTTGGCTGTGGTGCTTCCTCTTGAGGATATAACGAGATTAAACTGGAGTATTTATGATGGTGATAACAATATCTGAGAAGATCGCTTGTGATAAAATTACGTTGAAAAGTTCTGTATTACTTTTCTTTAAAAAACTGCAATGTTTTTATTTTATAAACATTGTAATTATGTCTTTTTTATCATCAGCAGGTTTTTCATCTTTAAAAAAATTACTTCTACAATTGTTTGTATTAGGCTCGCAAATATTCTATTGTTGTAGATAATGTATTTTTTGGAAATTAGTTTTAAAATGTAGATAGACTACACTAATATAGATTACAATAATTTAATTTATATTAAAAAACAGATTTTCGTCTGCATAAATATTTAGGAGAGTGTAATAACATAATATGAACGTACAATATTTTTGCGATGAGTCGAAATATTTTTTAAAATTTTATTCTTAAGTTGTGTACTTTTATGCTTACAAATTATTTATATTATCTAAATGCAGAATTCAATTACATTTATGATTATTCTAATATGCTTCTAATATTAATTAATAATGAATTTTCTGCTTACATAAATTTTTTCTTTTCATCACAAAGTATATTTTTTGTAATAATGAATTAAGGCACAATTTTATCTAAACTTTAGATTCTTAAACAATATAATTCTTATATTGGTATAATATATTCAATTTCAATTATATATATCATAGGTATGTATTTTGGCGAACAGCGTGGAACACATTCGAAAGTATTTGCAAGATATTCCACAAAAAATGCAGTGGACAGAACATTTAGATAAAATTCACGCAGAACCTTCCAGTGCCAGCTTAAAAGAACAAGTCTTGAGGATATTGAATCTCATTCATCAATCCATGGATTCGCATCTGGAACAAATTAGGAGCCGAATTCTTAAAGAGGTTGTATCAAGGGTTCATACACAATGCGATAAATTTAGATGTTCCTGGCTCGAAGGGGCAGCAACGAATCAGGTAGGCCAAAGAATAGCTTCTCTTTATTAAATATAGGAAGTTTTATTACCATGGCTTCAATAAGATGTATATTTTTCAGTAAATGGAAGGTGCTCATGATTTGTTGTACGTTGATAGACTCGGAAAATCCGGTTCGGAAGTACACTCATGTCCATTAATTTAAGAATAATGCAAAATCAGGCAAAGGAAGAGTTAGAAGCAAAACAAATTTGACTTATTTGTAAAGCTTATTTATTAAACAAAAGGTAAAAAGCAAAAAAAGATGCTATATGTTTGATATTATTAAAAAAAATTAGCGATTTTTCTCCCTGGAGCAAATTACAAACACAAAAAACCTATTTACAAAAAACCAATATTGCATGGTTGATATGACTGTTAATACATAGTATGTCTCCCAAACGATGCAATACAATCCGTACAACGCCTAGGCATGCTGAGTATCAAATTATCGATCTGATCTTGGGGGATATTACACCACTCAAAAAGCAATGCTCTCCGAAGTTCCGGTAGACATGTAGGAGGAGGTTTACGGTCTACAACTCGTCGGCCAAGCATGTCCCACACGTGCGCTACTCGATTCAAGTCCGGTGAGAATGCTGGCCAGTCCGTACGGGTGATATCTTCCGATTGAAGGCATTCGCTTACGATGTTTGCACGGTGAGGACGGGCGTTGTCATCCATAAAAACAAATTGTGCGCCCATGGCGTCCCGAAACAAACGTACATGTTGTTCCAGATAGATTTGGCTTGTCATGGTTCCAATTTGAACGTGCAGGTCAGTTCTGGAACCCAGAATAATTCCACCCCAAACGAGCACTCCTGCACCACCGTAACGGTGCCGTTTAATGATGTTTTCTTGGTGGTAACGGGTACCTGGAGCTCTTCATATGAAAGTCCGGCGAGAATCAGACTGCAAGCTAAACCTGGACTCGTCGGAAAACATGACATAAGCCCACTGTTGCGGTGTCCACAATGCATGCTCTCTACTACAGGCTAACCGCAGGCGACAGTGAGTTGCAGTAAGTGGAACGCATCTGACAGGTCTACGAGGATATAGACCAATCTGCCCTAAGCGTCTGTACACGGTCTGCCTTGAAATTGTCGTACGAGTGGCTGAAGAGAGCTGACGAGACAGGTCTGAGGCTGTGCTCCGCCTGTTTCTTTTGGCAGTAACTGCCAAATACCGGTCCTCATTCGGCATTGTAACTCTGGGGCGACCTGTGCTGTAACGTCTACTCACATTACCATCATTTTGGAATCGTTGCCAAAGCCTGGAGATGACACTCTGGGCAATTCCAAGTTCGTCTGATACTTCCAGTTGGTTACGCCCACATTCCAAACGGTCGATAATTCTACCACGTATAAAATCATCCAAATGCGTCCTTTGTGTCATAACTATTCGGTTTTTGCACTGAAATGCTTATAAAGCGCCTGCGAACAATTTTACTTCTTTGCCTGTATTCCTTATATATCATTCTCTTACACTCTCGTCATTGTGACGTACCATCGGTGTCATCTGGTTACTTCCTGAAATTTGCATATGTTTTTTGAAGATGTGTGTAGTGATTTTACAGGTGATATATTTATTTTAGAGTTCGATTTTCGTGTGACTCCGAATTATCCTTAATTTATGGACATGAGTGTAGTTCCATGAATATTCGTGTTACATAGGAAGAACTAGGATAATGAGTTTTAAGATTTTTTTCTTTCATGCTTTTTTATTCATAGGCTTCTTTGTTTCTGATTTAATTAAATTTTACCTGCATTTTTTTTCCTTATAATAATATGATAAAAAGTTCATGTTATAAAACTTATTAGCAGTTAAAAAATTTCATTGTGATTACTCAAAGAGTAGCCAAGATATCTTAATAATTTTTTTTTATAACTAAACAGGATCTAATTTTTATTTCAAGAGTTTCAAAAAAGAAATTCTTTTATTTCTCTTTGGGAACTATGAAAGGCTTCAATTACAGTTTTTAATATTTAATGAGATCAAAAACAGCCTGTATTACTTGAAAATTACTTTTGTGCTATGTTAAAAATTCCCTAAATTTCACCATTCGCTTTTTTTCCAGTATTTATTTATTTTATATTTATGCTTTAATTAAGCCCCATCTGCTGATAAATTAAGAAACGATATATCATAGATATCAGACTTTAGTTATGAAGTGTACACTGCAACAGAAAAATTGTATCTTATTTCAAAACACTGTACTTTTTTTCATCCAAGCAAGGAAATGTGCTAATAGGGGATGGCCAAACTTTATGTTGAGAACATGTTGGAATTCATGAACGTTCGGAAGGCACATCTAGATTTTCTAAAATCCACAAGACCACGATTTATACCAGTTTCATCATTAGGTTTCAAATGGAAAGAAATATTTGGTAACTTTATAAAAACAAAGGAAACAAAGTAATTACTTCTTTTGGGCAGTTTTAGTTTACCATATTTTATATAGATATTTTAATTCCATTAGAGCCACATCACGCACCTGTGAGAGCTGCTCGCGTCTCCTATCGCCGGCCGCCTCTGATATATACTTTTGTGAAATAAACTTTTGTCTACGTATATAAATTAAATTATCAATTTGATGCATCCTTTTGGTTTGAGATTTATAAACCACTAGGTGTACCCGCCCGGCGTTGCCCGTGCATTTAGAAAATGCAGATAAGTGAATAGCGCAGGAATAGTAGTGTAGGACATGTAGACTGTCTCTCTCTCTTCCCCCCCCCACAAGCTACAAAAAAGAAATGAATTGTAATTAATCGATTTAATGTATCGTCAAAACAGCAAACTAACGCTAGAATAAAGAAATCAATTGTTACAATCGAACGTTATTTGAAAACAAATAATAATATCAGTGAGTCAAAAAAAAACCGTGATTAATTAATTATAAATAATTTTTTTAAAATTTTTCTAATTCAAAAATCGAAAATCGGGCTTCGAGGTCTGGTGGCCAGCCCCTTTGTGCTTCCGTATAAAAAATTCCAGGTCCCTGCGTGCGATAGATTTGGCTGGAGAGCTCGGTCAGACAGACAGACAGACACATTACACTTGCTTTTATTATTATAGATATGCTTTCTAGGCTCATAGCACTTCCGAATTTATGCACAGCATTTCCAATTTTAATATTCCTTCGTACGTGCCATGCATACATGAAATATTAATTCTGAATTGTTGACAGTACGCAAATGTTATGTTGTTATTGGTAAATTAAATGGGATATCTAGAAGCGTCTGATAAGAAATTAGGTAAATCATTTTATCATCGTTTTACATGTAATGGAATTTCATTATCAGTTACATTTATTCTGTATCATTCAGCATTTGCTCGAGGAAAAGAATATTTTACGTTGAGTATACAATAGGCTGTTTCATTAGACTTAGTATAGCTATATTTATCATGAGTGTGCGCATACTGTAAACACTTATTTATCATTTTCCTTTAAATAATACATCGTAACAACTACTCTATTCATTTTACATAGAATTTGCATAAGCAATAGGAAGCTAGATATTTTTTAAAGCATATGGGGAACATACATGTATGTTTTTAGTATTGTTATTTATTTACTGATACTTGACTTTTGGTAATTAAGGCATTTGCCATCTTGTTGCCTAATATTTTGGGATTACAGAATTTAAAAACCTTTTTTTGAGTTTTAGAATTAAAGTGCAGAGCATATGTTTGAATGTTCTTTATCCTTGGGTTGCCCAGAATCACAGAGAGACACAGTGGAGAATTCGAGTCTAACGCAAAACAGATTGAGCTTTTAAGCAACCATATCCAGCTGAAAGATAGTATAATGCCACAGCTGTAACACGAGAAAGCTCGAGAATATTATGTTTCTTGTTCAAGAGACATGTTAAGAGCTCAAACTTTAGTCATGAATCTTGCTAAATATCATAGCTATCAATCTCCTAGCAGAATGGAGGTCATTAAATTTCTGGGTTTTTGGAGGACGGTCATTCCATTCTTTGCCAGGAAACATGCACTCTCATTTCCATTTACCTCAACAATCAGTCGACATCAGTAAAATGCTACAGAGTTAGTTAGAAACAGAAAGAATTAACAATTCTGTGGTTGACGTATTAATAACAAGGGTTCATCAAGAGCAGATCTGCCACATAACACTTCAAAAGAATAGTTTTATATGGCAAAATATATTAAACTTTTGATTCAGTATTGTGAAAACTCGTTGTTGTTAAATAACATAACAAGTTGGGGAGCCAGTTGGCAGCATAAGATATTGTACTGTTGCATCGCAGATTGCGTTTTTTACTTCCTTGCACAAAGTAATGTACAATATTCACGAAAAATTTCGGGCATCATTCAATTTCAATGGAAATATCCATTTTGATCGTTTTTGAATCCATTTTCTATATTTGTTTGTTTGAAATCTGTACGTACGAACAAAATAAAGGGCTCGTTTTTCCAAAACAGATTGTAAAATGGATTTAAAATAGATTCAAAATGGGTTTTGATGTCTGTATGTATGTATGTCTCGCATAACTCAAAAACAATTAGTCGTAGAACGTTGAAATTTTGTATATGCGACTGCTGTGACATCTAATTATGCACCTCACGTTCTTATTGCAATCGGCGGTACCAAAAGTATATATGTATACACCCAGTTTCTTATCCGGTTTAAGGGTCTTCATTTGACCTATATTTTTGCAATCGTCGTCGCAGTCATACAATATAAATCCCTACAAGGTAATGAAATTTTAAAATTTATTTGAAATAAAAATGATTTTAAGTTGTTCTATTTTGGTACGATTGTGGGAAATAAATGCTATATTTAGGTTAATGTTCCCTTTTCACTTTCAGTCGTTTGACAAATACATGAATTATCTTGATGAACAGATGGAATCTCTGCACGAAGTTCTGCAAGAAGATTTATACCCGACGTTTCTTTCTTATTTCTGGTCGTCGCTTATGATGTGCATACAAAATGAATTTCAAGAAGGAGTGAGTAAACATCTTTAAAGAAACCCATTTGAAAATATGGTTTCATAATTTTGCTTAAAATCATTTTTATTTTAATAAATTCTAGTCCTGCGCAATATTGTAATTAATTCCGATGCTTCATAATATTGTACAAAAATTTATGGCTAATTACACAATGTAAAGTGATACATAATAAATTAATTTCCTAATTATTTTTCCTTATTTTAATTTCAGCAACCGCCTGAATACGCAAAAACGATAAAGCAAGTAAGCATATTTATTACTCTCGTCCTAACAGTTATTCATGGCTCTCTCGCTTTGTTTTACATGAAACATTCGATTAAAACTTCATACTGTCTTGTAAAAATTTTTGTAAAAGTATACAGAATTCCATGAGAATACTTATTATTTTATTATATTCACCTTGCAGAATGCAAATTGATCTCAGTCTGCTACCGAGGTAGCGTCTTTATTTAGGGATAACAGATTATATTCATGCTTAGGAAATAAGATTTAAAAATTAGAAATTTTTAAAAGCATTTAATTTTTGTTGCTAATAATGAATAAATAATCTAGTACATAGTTGTTTGTTGATTGATTCATATAACTAAATTAGCAATAGATTTTTAAATATTTTCTCATATGAGATACAATTTAAAAATTTTAGCACGCGGAAATTTTAATTAAAAAGTTATAAAGTAACCATAAATTTTCAGTTATTTAATTTAATACTATCATATAATCATAATATCATTAATGGTGGAGAATCTATGAAATAATCCTTGAAATATCAGTTTGAATGTGTTATGTCTTCGTTTCCAGGAAAGAATGTTTTACCATTTTTTTAAAATAACGTTCATTTTCAGAAATAGTTAGAAGTAATTTAAGAATACTTTATTCATAGAAGCTTAAATTTGCACTTTATTGTTCATGTTTATATTTTATTGGTTGTGTATGAAAAACTATTTGATCTGGTGGTATTTAGTTATAAAAATGCTGTAAATATCTGGAAAGAGAATCGCGTTTTTGTGTGTAGGAATTATTTATTTAAATAGAACAAGAACTACACGTACTAGAACTGAATTTGTAGCTCTGAATGTTTTAAAATTTCAATATTCCAGACATGTCATTTGTTGTCATATGCCGCCAAGCACACTTTCAAGTAAGTGTAAAATAATATGCGCTAGTATATTATAAATGCTTTATAATTCGATATTCCTTTTATGCTACATAATTCACATTTTTATTTGCATTTGCCTTAATTAGGAAAATGAACCTTGCACTTAATTATTAAGTAAAGATTTTCATGAAATAAAATTTTGCATAGTTTCATTTGATACAAATTTTCGTAGTGTTACATTTTTAATTTGCACAGTTCTTCTTGAATACGCTTCAAGGCTTTAATATGCAAAATGAAAAGGACTGGATGACTGTTAAAAAGTAGACTTTGTTTTCGCTAGTGATTAAAACAAGCTTCCATTTTTTTTCTTTTCATTACAAAATATACTAGTATTAGTTCTTGTATTTTAATGTGAAATTAATTTTATCAATTATTTCGTTGTCATTATTTGATTAATGTGTTTTTAATAGAACATTCAAGATCTGAAAGAATATTTCCTGCATATAAGTATAGAAGAATGGGATGTACACAAACGTCTGTCCCAACAAATTATGGACGTACTTGAACTGAATTCCAAGACTACATTTGAATTACAATTGGATTATTATTCTCAAATAGCAGAATCTATCGTAAGTAGTATTTGTCTTTATTTATTAATTTTTTATACGTTTTAGTAACGCATTTAATAAATGTTCTAAAGAGAATATGTATCAAAATTATATTGTTTCGGACGTTTATTATGCATCATAATTCAATAAATTACGAAGATATTTTAGTTGAAAAAATAAGTATTTTATTTATATTAAATATAAATAAATGACCACCTGGATTATTTGCACTTGGATAAATAGTCCAAATAATCGCTAGCATCAATAATACATGTTACTGATATCAACGAGTTGGGTTTGAAATGGGATTCAGTTCATAAAATCGGAATATGATGGTAAAAAGTAATCTCTCGGCTACAGTTGATAAAACAAAAATGAAAGCATAAGGAGGAATTTTAATATATATATGTAATAAACGCAAAATTTAGAAATACTGCTATTGAAATTTTACATAATTCCATATATAAGATAAAAAATATGTGAATCAGAATTACAATTTAAACAAACGGTAACTTCTGCCTGTTATAAAAATCCTAATAACTTCTCTGGATTGCGTCATTTCTAGATCATTCCATTTTGCATGGCTCTCGCAGCGCTGATGAAGTAATAATTGCGAACTGAACTTTTAACTCAATCCAGAACCTTTCTCTTCTTGTGCTTCCATATCGGACAACTGCGTCTTTCAGCTTCGCTCTCTACCCTGCTAGGATGTAATTTCTCTATGTTCGCTTTCACAAAAGTATCAAAAATGTAAATGTTCTTGAATAGGCACGACTAGAGTGCCAAGTGAATGTTGGCCATAAACGTCAACTGGAATATAAAAATGAAATTAAAACTGCCTCGACTGCTAAGTTTCTTAGATACTACGATCTCAACACATTAGCATACTAGGCAAACGGAATTTTTCCTCTTCAATACGCCATCTACATGCTTTATCATCAGTATTTTTCTGCGTTTCTACGTCTCGGTGTTCCTACATCATTACTTCTAAATTTTGAACTTCTAATTTGCACTTCTAATTTTCGTTTATTATATGTACATTCTAGAATATCTTGAATAAGAGTAAAACCATTAAGCAGATGGGTGATGAAACGCTGGCTAAAGATGAATTCTGCTGACAGTCAGAAACTTCATGAATAAAAACAGATGTTCATTTGTCTTTAATAAGACTTAAGATATTTATATGTAGTTTACGTCTACGTAATTTTATGACTTATATGTACTTGCAAAGCCTTATATAATACGCAGTCGCACAAAGGAAAATTTTGAGATTTATTGTGCTATCCGGAAAGTTCTACTGTTCCTTGATGATACATATAAATGAAGCAATTTAAAAACATAAAAAAAAATTAATTGAATTACATAAGTATCATTGTGTTCTGTGACTTTCTGCCATCACCCTCTCAAGCAGCTAAATAATTTCTTTTTTAAAAAACGTCATTGGGGTTATGCATAAAGAAGCTGTTGAAGCATATTTTACAGTCTCCAAAGAAGGGAAATCCAGATTATTCAGAGAGTTTTGAAGCGACATGAATCCGAATTCCGACATGAAAAATCCGAGGGGTCTTAATGAATATGAGGGATTACACGAAACATCCCATCCATACTCAAGAAATCTTTGTCTGACATTCATCGAAATGTGCAGTTGAACATTACGATGATGGAAGCCAGTTCTGCGCTCTTTGCTTCGATTTATGCTTTTAAAATTGCCATTTAGGAACATTATTTTTTTGCATCTATTGTATGATTTGGTGGCAACAAATCGTAGTATACAATTTTTTTTTTGTTTGTTCTTTTTTCAATGCATGAAGCGTTATTTTTTTGAGATGCAGACGCCCTCTCGATGTTACTGAAGAAGATTCTTTTGCCTCACACCATGATCTTTTTCTCTTAACGTAATTGTATAGCATCCACTTCTCATTTCTAGCCATAAGTAGTTTCAAAAAAAGAATTCTTTTTAGAGAATATAATAGAAATTTTAGAATTTTAGTAAAGAATCCCATGCCGAAACTCGAGCGTGCTTTTATTCCGTATATGGTACACATACATTGTAGCAGCTTATATTTGTTACCGGCAAAGTATGAAATTCGGCATTCTGTAGAACGCCTAGGCATTGTATATAATGCCTAAAATTAGCCGGCAATGTATGAAACGATTCCTATTTCACACATTTCCTAGGCATTCTATAGAATGCCAAATGACAAACCGGAAAAATATAAAGTACATTTCCGATTCATTTCGAAGAACCGAAACTACTTACCAGAAGTTAAAAAATGATGCAAAAAGGCCAAAATGACTGCTAAGAAGGAACCACGGGACTATTGGCCGCCCAATTGCTAGGTTGTGATGTTTGGGGAAAATAAATATACATTCATTTATCCTGTTAAAGAAAGCGTCAATACTATGCAGTATTGCGTCACGGACACTGAGTTATTTTCCGTATTTCATGAAAACTCATTTGAGTACTGTACAGGAACGACGTGACAGAGTGTTAAAAGAACTTTCAACCAATTACAAAAACGTTACACGTAATGATATTGAACTGTAACAACCACCTTCGTGAGCCTTGCCAGAAAAAAACTAAAAGGTATTAAAAAGGGCATCAATGTTATACTTCAACGATTGTTGCTGAATTTAACTTATGTTGTCAGGTTGATCTTACAGATTACAAGTTTCAGCCAGATAGAAAATACAAATTTATTACACTGTATCAAGATCACCTCAATATCTTTTTTTTTTTTTTTTTACATATTTCAAAGAACAGTTTTTTAATGGCACTCTTTCATTAATTTTTCGAAATAACATTTGTATTTTAGACGAATGAACGTCTTTTAAATAATAGCCTTATCATAAACTTTTTTTGTCATTCTATAGAATGCCTAGGTATTATATACAATGTCTAAGTAAAGTATACAATAATTCTCTTATTATACTTTACCTAAAATTGTCCGGCATTATATACAATGACTAGGCATTCTATAGAATGCCGGTGTTTCAAACTTTGCCGGTAACATATATAAAGTCTTCTTCAAATGGCAATCTGCTACATTTTCCGGAATATTTAATCTGTTTGATAGTTCCTGAACTACATAACGTGTATTTTCAGCCATAGCTTCTTTTAATAGTTCTTTGTTTATAGAGGATGGTTTGATTGTTTATAAAGCGCGTTTCATTTCCGAAGCTGAAATTTCCGCGTTTTATTTCCTCAAACATCTTCGAACTGTATCATCAGAAACATAATTTTCTTCGTATATACATAACACAAATCTTACGAACAAATAACTAATATACACTCATTGCCATAAAAATTTGCGCACCAAGAAAGAGTTGTCAGAATGAAACGAAATTTTACATATGTAAGTGCTACTTTCATATAAGTAAGTGATTAAAAAATCAAAGAAAAAAACGATCATTTATTGCAGGAAAAAGTACACATGAACGGAAGTTTTAGTACCCTGTTGGACTACCTCTAGCGCGAATGCACGATGCGATACGAGTGGGCATTGAGGCATACAAGTTCCGTATGGTGTCCTGAGACATCTCGTTCCACAGTTGCTGGAAACGCGCCTCTAGTTCGAGCAATCTCGTAGGCTGTCCAACTTTCCGTCCCAAATGATCCCATATATGCTCGATTGGTGACAAATCTGGAGATCGATCAGGCCAGGATAGGGTGCTGATGGGGCGGATGTAGTCTTGTGAGATCCGTGCTGTGTGTGGCCGAGTATTGTCTTGTTGAAAACCGGCTCCTGGGAGCCTTGCCATGAGTGGCAACACATGTGGCTGAAGGATGGCATGGACTTACCGCTTGGCCTGTCATTGTGTCTTGGATAAATATTAGGTGTGACCGTGTATCGTAAGCAGTGGCATCCAATACCATCACACCAACTGTGGAAACGGTGTGTCGCTGTAAAGCGAAGGCAGGACCGAGGCTTTTACCACGAGGCCTCCACACACGAACACGATTGTCATCACCTGTCAAACTGAATCTAGATTTGTCGCCGAAGAGGACCTGGTTCCATTCCGTTAAAGTCCAATCCTATCGTGCGCGACACCACTCCAAATGGAGGCGTCGGTGGGTGGGTGTCATTGGCAGAACACGTAATGGGCATGGCAATACTAGATATCCTTCAACCAGGTGCCTTGCGATGGTTCGAGAAGACGCAGGGGCCCCTAATGAAGCTGCTGCCTGTATCTGAATAGCGCCCAATGAAGCAGGGCCTCTACGCGTGGGGTGCGTATGATGTTACGGTCTCACGCGAACTGGTTGTTGAGGGCGTCCTGAGCCTGGTCGCCGTGTAAATGACGTCTCTTCTGTCCATTGTTTCCAACACCTCCTTACAGTAAAATCAGAACGGCGTACCTGACGAGCTACTCGCCGAGCTGACCACCAGCTCCTCATACCCGATGATTTTTCCCTCTCAAATCTGACCTGCTATATTGGCTTCGATGTCTGCGTAACGGCATGTCTACCTCAGCGTTTTCTTAGCAAAAGATTAAGTATATCAAACAAGCCCCGCTTACCTGTTTTATACTCCAAGAAGAAAGAATTTCAACGCCCTCTAGTGGCATTACGCAATGTGCAATCAGGCTGCATCAAATCATTTGCGTATCTACCCGACATGTACCTTCATGCCAAGTTTCGTTACGATCCCATAATTATTTCTTGGTGCGCAAATTTTTATGGCAATGAATGTACATAATTATACTAATATACATAATATAAATAATGCAAATAACTAATCTGTGACTAAAATTTGTCATTTAAATTTTAAAGTAAAAAGGACTGTAATATGATGAAAATGAACTTATTCTTGTCATTGCATTGAAGACAAATTACACCGCAAAACGTGCAGAATTACTAAACGTGAGCAAAAAAGAACGTATTTAAACATAAACTTTGATTTAGGTTACTTCTTATCAGCTTAAGAGAATCATTAGAAGAAAACCTGCATTGAAATGAGAAACCGTAGAACTTTACATATGACCCAGTATGTTAGTATTAAATTTGTGCATATATCATGAGGCACACATTACATTTAGCCTTTACAATTACAGTAGATGCTGAGCGCAGTACCTGTCAGAGTCAATTATTACAACGGCTAATTGTTGCTCGAGCATCGTCGGCCAAAGTGAAGGTTTATGTAGAGGCTATTCTAATTTCATTAGCAAAATCCACCAGTGTATCCTGCAACTGCTGTATTCACGTTATCCTTTATCCCCCTCTACCATAGATAAAATATTTTAAAATGTTAAATCAGCTCAACTTGCTGAGAAATCAAATGCACATCTTCGTCTTATCTAGTGTCCTGGCAAATTTTCAATCAGGTTAAGTTACACTTGTATTGCTAAACCTTATCTTCTGTATTGCTAAACCTATTGCTGTTCACGTTTTGTGGCTGAGTTCTATGGCGAGTGTTTAAACTTTTCTAATACCACAGCCAATGAAGCAAGACTTGCTGTTATATGATGTTCTCCAGATTTTCCCATGTGCTTTCACAAATGATACCAAATGTCTCAAATTTATCACAAAGACATCTAATTAATTACCAGTAGCGCTGAACGTTGCCCTGCAAATTTTGGTCACCATTTTCATTACATTTCAGCAACATTTTCCAAATTTGAAATACCAATTTAAGATGCTTTTACGCTACCCAAACGACATTAGCGCCTGGCACTCTGATTCATTGCTTTACGTTATAACCTCATTATGCAGTCATGTTAGTAATAATATCTATTGAGAGGAAACCATCATTTGGTCCGATTTTTAAAAAGTCCATAGATACCATATAAAGTGTATATCCACTTTTCTGACAGACACTGTATGTTGTGGAGCTTGTGACGTAGGCTAAGGCTAAAAAATAAATGAAATAAAAGTAATTTTTATCTGACGTGAGTGCCAAAACTTTTCTTTCTTTTCACCATCGACGGAACAGCTGACCCACTGGGTTAGGTGCTTTTCAGCCTATTGGATCCCGTCGATGGAATTAAAAAAAATACATTAATACATATAATTAAAGAGCTTAGTACTGTATCCTCCGGGGATTGGCCACGAAACGAGGAACATTGAAATAAGGACCAGAACATGGAAAAAAGGTGCATGGTGGGGACTGCTGAGACTAAGCGGAACACTTTTCACTTTATCGTACATGTTAGGCATACAGTTATATTAAGGATGTGCTATAAAATCAGGTACAGATGTAAAGATAACCAAATACATTTCAAATTGTGGAATACATTAAATGAGTTCTGGAGTAGTCATAATATTAAATATAGTTAAAAACAGCAAAACAAACAAACAAAAAAAACACACAAAACATTAAGTAAAATAATATATGTACAGAGTAGGCTGCTGACGGCATGGTGTCTAAGGAAAGAAGTCACTTCAGGTTGTCAGCAATGCTTTTAGCAATGGTAGTGCAGTCTCTAATGCGGCTGATCGCATATTTATTCTTAATTGTGTTCTTGAACCATGCTGGCATATTGATTGCAGTTGGTCTTTTTGAGTGCCAAAACTGTTCACTCAGATCCAAAACATCGCATCTTGTATGTTAAACAAGAGTTAAAATCGAGAGAAGAGATGGAAAGTTATATGTTGTTTCGCCAAATAGTGTTAATAAATGAAAATGTGGTTTGAAGGCAAAAATAAGTCATCCACTTATAAGAAAATAGAAGAAAAACGTAGTTTCTTGATTTTGATTGCTGCTAAATTTTCAGATATCGAGGATTTTAGACAAATTCTTTGAAATACATGAGTTAGGATTTGAATTTAATTGCGTCTATAGAAGTCATCACGTGTTTTAGAGACACATAAGGAACATCTTAAACCTTATTTTATGCATTCTTTTTCTTCTGTTTACCATAAAACAGAATCAATATTATAAGCATTCAGTAATTTGTTTGGAACTTAGATGGTTTCGAATATTATTTATTGTTTAAATGAAGAAACATTTTTACACTAATATATTTAGAAACACATAATATGTTTTAGAGACACATAAGAAACATCTTAAACCTTATTTTATGCATTCTTTTTCTTTTGTTTACCATAAAACAGAATCACCATTATAAGCATTCAGTAATTTATTTAGAACTTAGATGGTTTCGAATATTATTTATTGTTTAAATGAAGAAACATTTTTACACTAATATTAACTCCTGTGACCTTAAGTTTAATATTAACTCCTGTGACCTTAAGTTTAATATTAACTCCTGTGACCTTAAGTTAAGTAAATTAAGTTTGTTAGATTAGGAAGATTTCGTTCAAAAGTACGTTACCATTGTATTTTTATTAGCTTTGAGAAAACGGGAATCTTTAAACAGATAATTTATATTTCTCTTACTCTTTTTCATTTTGCTTATATATAGGTTTCTCCCGTTGAATACTTAGGACACATAGCATTTCAAGCAGGCTATAAGATGACAGAAGCAGATGCTATTGATCTTTATATAAAGGGTAAAATTTTCTTTTTATGTAGTCTAAACAATTTTATTCTGTTGTTTAATTCCTATTATTTAATTGATACCGAAGTAGTCGTATTAGTTTCAGTATAACGGATGATGCTGCCTTTTGAAAGAATTTCAGTAATATTTCTTGAAACTAAACAGCTTTGAAGAGTGATATTTAAAATCAAGTCTCTGGATTGAGTCTCAACTCGCTTTTATAAAGTGGAAAAGTTTTCTAATTCGAAACGTTTAGAAAGTAATCAAGAGATTTATAGAGAAAAAACTGATGAACTAAGACCATTGCAGATATTTTGAGGTATTAAAATATGAAATTTTGAATTTGGGTATAAATCCTAATTGCATATAATTTTATACATAACAGTGCACGTAATAAATAAATAAATTATGCAGAAATGGGACTACAAAGTGTATCACCCAGATCTACTAGTGTTCAAAAAAATATGTATGCAAAGTGTAACTAACAATATTTTATGTTCAGGTACTTGTAAATATTCTTTCTTGCTATTATTAGCAATATGCATTTTAGTAAAATTAATAATTTTTCTTCTAGAAAATTGCATTAATTAACAATTTACATTTTAGCAAAAGCCACGTATATACAGCAGTTTACACATTAACAAAAACAACATATTTCACATATACTGAAACTGAGGAATTAATTTTTTTCACTAAACTTTATTTGAGTCTGACTCATTTCGTTTTCTAAAATAATTATCACCAAATTGAAAGATTATCTATGAGTAAACTCTCAGTACATACACTGGTGTGAAAAATAAGACGTCGAGATTCATCTGCGAAGAAGGCGGCAAAAAATCAGAATTATAAGGATGTACTGTCACATGCGATATTTTATTTATTTATTTACCATCAGATGAGCAGCTGCACCGCCTTTAAGACATTCAGCTTTTACGCTCAACTGATGGAATCATCTACCAACTGTGTTGTTATGTAAAATACAATAAAATTTTAGAATTTTGATAATTACATAATAAAAATAAAATATCAAGAAATAAATATATAAATACAATAAATAATAAACAATAATAGATACATAAAAATTTAGAATAAGATAAATACAATGGTGTTATATATGAAGTCAAATAAAGTATCAGAATTTTGAGAATTATATAATAAAAATTGAAGAAATTAAATATATAAAACAATAATACCTAAAGAAATATGAAAGTAAATGAAACGTAAATAGATAAGTAAATACTTAAGAAGATCATTACAAATTTTGAAAATGAACAACATAATGTATAAGAATAGTAGAGGCTGAGAATGTAAGATATGTAAAGAGTAAAGTATTTCATTATGGAGAATGAAGAGCAGTAATTGAATAAAAGTTGATGAGAAATAGTATTTGAATGAATTAGGATGACCTGAATGAAAAGTTCGTGGAAATTCTTGATAGAGAGTCATTCTTGAGTAAAAGACTTGACTAAAAATCTTGAGTTGAGAATTTATTAATATATTAAGGAGATGGAGTTAGAAAATATCCTTAAATTCTTGATCGAGCTTGAGAGATCTTGAAGGTTTAAATAAAGATAGTCTTGAGTGAAAGCATTAAAATGAGGTAGTAGAAAGAATGGCTTATTAAGTAAGGTAAATGAACAAAGAATAATGATTTCAAGTTCCTTTAAGATTATCGATGTTTGCGGAGATATAATTTATTATATTATGAAGATTATTTCTGAGAATATTACTTTTTAATAACTGTTGAAACCATAACTGAGAGAAGTTAAATTTTATGCTTTAAGGTGATAATCTTTAGTAATGTTGCAGTGAAAGAGATAATGATCTATTGTGCCTTCATTACCACAGGTACAGAGATTTGTATGCTGAAGTCCGAATCTATGAAGGTATTCTGGAAATGGACCATGAGCTGTTAGGAAAAAATGTAATTGAACGGTTGGTAGATATTAATGATCTTGAAGGTTTTGATATGAAAGTAAAAGTTCTTCTGCCGGTAGTTGCTTCCGTCCAGGTTTGCTTCCATAAGTGCATTAATTCTGTTTCTAATTTTGTTTTTAGTAATGATATTGGATATGGAATTGAGTAATTTGGAAGGGAAGAATTGTTTGCAGCCCCTTTTGCTAGTTCGTCTGCGAGCTCGTTACTACTATTACCGATGTGTGCTTTAATCCATTTGAAATGTGGTCTATTATTGTTTTGAAATTGAGAAAGTAGAAAATGGATTTCTTGTACAATAGGCGATCGACTGTGTCCAATTATAGCTTGAATACTAGATGCACTATCAGAGAGAATTAAGGATGGTAAAGAAAGTTCTTTTGCGAAGCATATGGCTTCTTTGATTGCAAAAAGTTCTGCTTGAAAAACTGAGTTGTTATTGTTTTAAACGAATATTCCAGTTTTTAATATTTGAATTTTTTCGGAATGCGCAATATGCACTACCAACGCCTGCTTCAGATTTCGAACCATCAGTATATATGGTGAGTTCATATTTATTGAGTTCCAATAGGGATTTTGTGTAAAATAATGTAGGATGTAGCTCTAAGTTGTGTTTAAGATATTCAAAATCTGTGGGTTGAAATACATTATTATTCATTATGCTTTGAATTCTTAGTTTTGATATTCTTACTTTATTTGCTTCTTTTATTAGAGATAAAGTAATTGGAGGGATGCCTGTTATTATTTGTAGCGCACTAGTTGGAGTAGTTCTATATGCTTTTGCTAGAGAGAGGAGGAAAGGTCTTTGGATTGAAAGTAAATGTTTTTGAGCCTGGGAATTCAAGGTTAAACCCCAGACGGAAGCACCATATAGTAGTATTTTTTCAATAACTGTTATGTACCAAATTTTTTCTAATTTTGAGGATATACCCCAAGTGCTGGCTGTTACAGATCGAAGAGAATTGTGAAGGGTTAAAGTTTTGTTTTTGAGATATTGAATATGGAAATGCCAGGATTGCCGAGTATCTAATACTATTCCCAGATATGTGATGCTCTTGTCAATTTTGATTTTTTCTTGAGAAATTTTGATTATTGGCTTTCTTAGGTTTTTTATGGAAGTACCTCTTTTTGGAATATATAGTGCTTTACATTTCGTAGTAGAAATTTTAAGATGAAATTTATCTGTCCAGTTGCGGAAGATATTTAAAGAAAAACTGGAGTTAATTTCTATTGATTTCCGGCTACTTGCGTTCACAATGAGAAGAAAATCATCTGCGTATGCTTGGATATGGGTATGATTAATATTGTCGTATAGTTTTAAAACTTCGTTTGCTATAAGATTCCAAAACGTAGGGCTTAAGCAAGATCCTTGAGGACAACCTTTTGTTAATTTATAATTTATTACACCGGAATCTGAAGAATATTGTAGAGTTCTATTGCATAGGTAGTCTTTGATAATATGAAGGATATCCTGAGGGCATGATATTATTTCTAGAATTGTTATGATGTCTTTCCAGCGGATAGAATCGAAGGCTGCTTGAATATCTATCGAAATTATTATTGAATGAAGATTCTTTGATTCATTCATCTTTAAGACTTCTTGCATTTTTTGAAAAGCATGATCTGTTGATTTATTTGGTGTGAATCCATACTGATTTTCATGCATGATTTTATTCTTATTTAGATGATATAAAAGTCTTGAAAGGATTAGTTTTTCAAGGAGTTTGCCCAACGTGGGAAGAAGGCATATTGGTCTATAAGATAGAGGGTTTGTGGCTGGTTTATTTTTCTTGAGGAGCAAAACAACTTCTGCATTTTTTAATATATTAGGAAATGTTAAGTTATACCAGCAGGCGTTAATGAATGATATAATAATTTGTTGATAATTATAAAAAATAAGTTTTAAGATGATGTTGTCGATACCATCGGGACCTGGTGCTTTCCTGTTATTTAGTCTTTTGATGATATGTTCCAATTCATCGATCTTTGGAGGGATGATAACTGTTGGTGGATTAGGACGACGTGTAGAAGAACTGTTAGATGCTTCTGTATCTGTGGTATGATTCGATCTATATTCATCTTGTGGGAATAGTTTTGATAAAATTTCTAACGCAGCTTGGGAAGAGGAAATTGATTCAGAGAAGCTGTACATTGATAATGAAGGAGGAGTGAAAATTTTATTGTGCGCTATTTTGAAGGCGGAGCCATAAATTTTGGAGGTAGAAGTGCAAAATGTTTTCCAACTATTAATTTTTGATATTCTGATATTTCTTTTATAATTGCGCTCTTGCTTTTTGGAAAGCTATTTTATAGTGAGTTCTTTCTGTTTCTTCTATACAGGCTTTGTATTTTTTTCTTTCTATTGCAAGATTTTGGTTCCACCATGGAGTACTTAATTTTTTGGTACCTGAGCATCGTTTATATGAGGAGTTGCAGATCTCTGTTATACTATTTATGAGGTATGAAACAGAGGAATTTACTTCCGCTTTTGAAGAGGCTGTTTTTAAGGAATGAAGAATACTGGCAGAGTAATTTTGTAGATTAGCTATAAATTTATTGTGTCCGCCATAATGAGTTTTGAAGCGACGTTTTTTATTAAAAGTGAAATCAGATTGTATTTCAAAGGTGATGAATCGGTGATCACTAAAAGATTCTATTTCAGAAACTTTCCAATTTGTGATTAAGGATGCTATTTTAGGCGTTGCGAGAGTTAAGTCAATCCAACCTTGTGCTCTTAATGTCAGGAATGTAGGTGGACTATTAGCGTTATTTAAAATTGTAAGTCGTTTTTCTTGAATAAATTCTAAAAGCAGTCTACCTCTATTATTTTCAACCGGCGCTCCCCATACAGGGCTATGTGCGTTGAAGTCTCCTGCAATGATGTGATTTGAGTTTGGAGGCAGTTGAATTGAGTCCAGTTCTGTAAGTATCTCTTGCAAGTCTAATGATGGAGGAGCATAAATGGAGGTACAAAATAAAGGATGAATAAGAAATTCTAATTTTATAGTTATTGTATGTAGAGTAGTATGAACTATTATTGGAGTTAGAGGCCCAATGTAGATTATAGCAGATTTATGAGAATGCGAAAGATGATAAAATAGCCCCGATGGAATTTCCAATTTCTTTGTTGAGGAAATAAATGGTTCTTGTGCAAAGATGATATTGATATTTTCTTCTTTTGCAAACTGTAGAGCATTCGGTAAAGTAGCACGAGCTCTTTGTAAATTTATTTGTAGTATTCTTATTTGTTTACATACGCAGATATGCAGGTAGACGTAATGGGGGAGTGTCTGAGTAGTATAAAGCATGATGTCGGTGTAAGATCAGTATTTCTGGCAAAGAGATTGCACGCCGTATAGCAGTTAAAATCACACCGAGTTGCTGCCTCAGCGAGAAATGCGAATAATCAATCTGTTAGACGACATCTGGATGCTTTTACCCGAGGTCGAATCATTGGGAAGTTGGAGGAAGGCCGCAGTGTGCCAAGTGTGGCTGCAGAGTTCGGAATTGCTCACAGCATCGTTTCACGACTTTGGAGACAATTTCAAACTATAGGAACAGCTATCCGGGGGTTCAGTAGTGGTCGTCCACGAGGAACCACACCCGCAGATGACCGGTATATTGCCTTACAGGCCAGAAGAAACAGGCGGCAGACAGCGGGAGAAATAGCTAGACACACGACACAGGCGAGTGGACGACCGATATCGCGTTTTACCGTGGCCAGAAGACTGCACGGTGGTGGTCTGTTTGCACGACGCCCTGTACGGTGTGTACCTCTAACGCCTGCCCAACGGAGAAGGCGTTCTCTGTGGTGCCGGGAACACAGGAATTGAAGAGACAATGAATGGGGACGAGTACTCTTTACAAATGAGAGCAGATTCAGTCTGAGTAGCGATTCTCATCGCATACTCATCTGGAGAGAGCGGGGAAGCCGCAATCATCCCTCGAACATCATTGAAAGGGACAGGTATGGAGGTGGTGGTGTTCTCGTTTGGGGAGGCATCATGCTTGGTAGTCGTACAGACCTTCACATCTTCGACGCAGGTTCAGTCAACGGGACCCGTTATTGTAACGTTATTGTATTCTTCTTCCATATGTGCGTCTTTTTAGAGGCGCTATGGGTCCGCAGTTCCTTTTCATGGACGACAATGCACCATGTCATCGCACAGTAGCTGCCGAACAGCTCTTAGAAAGTGACGATATTGAACGTATGAATTGGCCGGCACGATCTCCGGATCTCAATCCTATCGAGCATGTATGGGATTTTCTAGGCAGAGCTTGGCAGCTCGTACCTTACCACCAGTAACGATTCCGGAGCTTCGATTGGCGCTGCCAGCAGTGCCTCAACAGCTCATTGACACCCTCATTCTCAGCATGGGCAGACGCTGTGAAACCTGCCTAGCAATCAGAGGAGATCATATCCCCTATTAAAGACAGGATGTTTCTTGCTGAACACCCATCACAGGGATGTTTCGGCCTTCAGTCGCATTGCTCTCCATGCTACCTTTTCAATAAAGCTTCTTTTTATCCCTCTGATTTCTCTTTTAGTAAGTGTTGCTTACATTACTCATGTCCTTACGTATTGGGAATCTTACGGTATTAAATGTGTTGATTTGGAAAGCTTTTGTACAAAGTTATATTGAAAAAAACCGTCTCGTCCTTAATTTTTGCACACCAGTGTACTTACTAATATTTATGTGCACTATTTTGAGGTAAATTTATTTTAAAAATTGTTTTTTAGGTTCTATATTCGCTATACTGATGATACTTCCTGACATTAATAAGGAAGATTTAACTGAACGTTTCTGAATTTCTGAACGATTTAACTGAAGTCATACCACGCATTTCCTGCTCATATTTACGGATTTTGGCCTAGTTCTATCCCCATACCTTTGGCTCAGTATGAAATGGAACAAAAACAAAACGGAACTATCAGAAACAGTAAGAAGGAAACATTTAGAAAATCTTACAAAAGCTCGTATGTTCAAGAATACAGCCCGCGTATTTTATTCACTTTTAGGAATAAGCTTATAATTATTTTGATAATTTTATAGTGCTCATCTATTTTAACGTTAGGATTAGATAGCAAGGCGTTGACACATATTTTTGTTATCTAATTATTTCAATCAATCGGTGTGTTGTGATTCATTTAAAGCAAGCTTTGTTTTACAAAACTCAATAGCCATTAACTGTTAAAACTATAAATGCATGAATCGGCAAGAAAAGAAACTTAATTGCAACATTTTGCTTTTAGAAAGAATTGATGGCTGCGTAGTCATTTTGGCTAGGAAGAACGCCAAAATAATAAAAGCGCCCTGTGATATGACTTCATCTGAAAAGTATTCGTATTTGGATCTAAATGAATGCAAGTCCGTTCGTTCTAATTACCTGCAATGAATTTGATTCCAAAACTGCTATTTGCTGTAAACAATTTACTATTTGCTTGACTTCTCGTGCGAAATCATGTCACCTAGATATAAACAAAAAATAGTTTCTTTTTACTTTTATGTATAACTTGCTCTCAGTGTTTGTTATTGGGAATTTCTTTCTCAGGAATTGAATTACCGTAATTTCGCGCGTATAGTCCGCGGACTATCTGTGTTTAAAATGCGAATTTTGAAGCTGCGGACTATCCACCAGTGTGGATAATACGCTGGTTGTTCACGGTTAAAATTGTTGAAGTTTAAAAAACACGCTGTCGTGAACTGCCGATGATTAAATATAAAAAAAGCGCGAGATTCCAAGTATCCTTCGCACTGCTTTAGCACAACTGCCGGGAGGAGGAAAAGTAGTTGATGCGTCAACTCGGTTTTTAGGAGCCATAGTAGCAAGTACCTGGAGTACGAAAAAAAAGCGCGATTCGTTTACTTATAGCGTGGTTTGGCAACACCGAGTGAGTGGGGTCGAAGGTCACATTTCATTATCACTTATTACGAGGATAGCACAGTATTTTGTTTTCGTATTTTGTCTTTCATCTTCGATAACGTTGATGAAACATCGCCGGAGATTTACTGCTAAGAGGTAGTTGAGAAAACTGAAAAAGGTGGAAATAGAGAAGCGGGCCGTTATTGGTTTAATCCTAGTATCCGGTGCACACGGGATTTGTCTACTTTTGGCGACTTTATGATGAGCAGTGAAAACGGGACATATACGATGAGTAGTTAACGGGTCATTCAAAGAAAATATATAGTTAAACATAGTATATACTATGTATATAGTATATATACTATGCGTGTATAGTATATATATAGACGTTCTTTGGATCATTTTTGGTGTTGGCGATAATTTTCAAAGTCGCGCCAAGGCTGCACCGTATACTAGGATTTTACTCCGTTATTTTGAAGTGGACAAGAAAGCGGTGAGAAATTTGCACAAAAAAAAGGATGTGTTTAAAAAGCATGGGAATATTGCCGTATTAAAAAAACGTAATTTCGGACGTATAGTCCGCGGACTATCCGGTGGTGTGGACTATCTGACAATTTTTAATTTTTTTTTAATATAAAATCGTGTCTGCGGACTATACGTGCGAAATTACGGTGTTTAAAATCCGTTTGTCGTTGACAGATTTTTTTCTTTCAAGGCCATAAATAAATCTTTAAAAATATTTTCCTTTTGATATCATAACATATATTCCGCTATTAGAAATAATCGTAAAAATATTGTTGTCATGTAAGAAAAACAAGTAAGCAAATACTTTTCCACTCCTTTGTCATTAACAAAATATCTTGGATTCTATTCAAGTTCAGTTTTCAGATCATTTACACCTATCATTAAATTTGGATTATTAAAGATCCGATCTCCGCTTTTAATTCTTAGGAAAGTTATAGTATATCTCGTCAGCATAGTACCTGCCAAAAAAAAAGAGTACTGTTATAATAATTATTTCGCGTCAATGAATGTGAATTTTATATTGCAAAGGAGAAATGAACAAATCTTCTGTAGCTAATCAAGTTCTTTATTGCATTTAGAAATTTTTTTCCTGTGAAAGTTATCCATAAAGTTTGTTCTGTTGTTCAAAGGAATTCGTTAATGACATTAATTTCAGTCCAGTTCTTTATAAAGCTTTCAGAATTCTAGTATCTTAGTTTTTCACGTTTCATTACTATTTTTGTCGACAAATGGCGAAACGGTCGTTTTAACTTTGCTACACTTCTTGATTTCCATATAAAACGATTTATTTGCTTCCACCTTAATAAACATTTTATTTTTCTGAATAAGAGGGATGTATGTTTGCTTGCTCTCAAAATCCACAGTTTTCAAAATCTACACCGATCTAAGGTTGCTTCTTTTCTTAAATTTAACATTTATTTAAAGATTTAGTATTATTGCTTGTGCATATGATCTCATTTGTGCATGTTACAACTATCATTTACCTTTTACGGAAACCTAAAAAATTATCATACTTTATTCAATACCTCCAAATATTTAGGATCAGCTAACTCTCTGAAGTAAAGAGAAGATGAAGTAATATGAAACTAATATCATAGCACCTTAAAAAGCTACGGATGTTTGTTCTGTTTATAAATGTGAAGAGATTTATGATCCCAATTTTCTACATGAATTATTCATGACATGATAACAAAGTTGTGCTTCTCATTTCAGTGCAAAAAGGCCAGCGTTTACCTGCTCGAAAATGTGAAATGTCTGAATTGATTGTCAAGGTTGAACTTTGTCCCAACACATTGTTCCCAAACCAGCTACCTTTGAAATCTTCGCCAGTGACTGAAGATTTGGACAATCCTGTATTCAACGAGCTTTTCCAGTTGTACGTTATAAATGAAAATTTTATTCTTTCTTCATCTAAATTTATTTTACTGAACAGATATGATACACTGAAATGCAACATTTAGTAACTGAAGTAAATATTTAACGCAATTTGTGTTCTGCCTTCATTTGACTGAATCAAGTGCTCATCAAAATTATGACAACTGTTGAATGAAAGACATTTTTACATTGAAAAACTCGTGAAGTTTGTTTTGTTTTAATTAGTACATTATTTGTAACGTTGAATCTTTCTTGCACTTCTACTCTTTTAAATACTGCCTCAGGAAATGTAAATGAAGTGAGTAAGGATTTCATAAGAAGCAGGAATCTTAAGTTTTGAAGAGAGATTTGACAACCTCGTCCTGCCGTATTAAAAATTTGTGTCACCTAGATTTTAGCGCTGTGTCGCGAATCCATTAGTTTGCATATGAATGTACTTTTCTTATTAATCGAAGGGTAATATAGTTGCCAATGTCCAGTCCTCCTAGCGAGTTCCCTTGGCCCATGACCATCTAGCACTCCGTCAGTGCTAACTAAAAAGTTAATAAAAGGCAACCAAAGAAAATAATATAAATACATTCGGCAATATATACCATAAGTTAAGTTTTATTTACCGATTTAACAACACAACAGGAAAGAGAAGATGAAATAAAAACTAAAAATAAAAGTTAATTATAAACCAACTTAAAAAAAGAGAAGTTATATAAAATTACAACCATGCAACTAATATCCATACACATACACAAAAAGAAACATAGCTCAAAAGAATTAAAATTAAAATCCCCATTGCAAGCTTATCATGTCGATAAAATCTTCTCCATTATTTTCCTGGCAAATTTTTTTCAGTCTTTTAAAATCATTTAAAATATCAGATATATATTAAAAACATCATTTTTTTAAACTCGTTCCTAATATCAGTAAAATATTTACATGTTTCCACATAATGCTCCGCAGTGCCCGGTTCTTTACAGATGTCACAAAAGTCAGGCTCTTGTAATTTAAACTTTTTAAGCTAGAAAGGAAAATGGCCATGAACTGTAATGATTTGACTAACGTCAATGTCTGAATAACCTAAACCTTTTTTAAGTTTAACAAATATCACATAACCTTTATTTCGATCAGATCTTTCTCACTTCTCCCTCCATTCATCATACATAAATATAATTTTTCACAATAGTCACAGCTCTCCTTGTTGATCCCTGTACATCAATATCACGAGCATTAACATCGGCAATTGCCTCCTTGGCCAGTGCTTCCTCTCTCTCATTTCCAGAATGTTCAACATGAACCTTCACCCAATTAAACATAATATTTTGATCTTCTCTCAGTTCTTTATATAATTCTCTAATATCTATTATTAGAGGATTGTCTTGATTATGTTTTGAGAGAGCTTGAAGAACTGATAGACTATCAGAATAGATATGTATATCATATTGCTTTTTAAGATTCTTCTTAATCCATTTCAGTGAATAAAAAATAGCCATAGCTTCCGCTTGATAAACTGAGTTATATATATTAAGTTTAAAGTTATTATTCTCAGTCTCTGTTCCATAATAATATATAACATATGCGACAACAGGGCGTCTTCCAGACCTGACCCATCTGTATAAATGTCCATTTCATTGATTTGTGAAGCATCCAACTAATACGGAATAACAATTCTTTCGGTAGGGTAAATCAAATTTAAATTAAATTTTTCAAAACCACACCATGTAACAGTAGAATCTTCATATAATTTAAAACCAATATTTCCTGTTCTTAAACGAAATTTATCATAATAAAGAACAAATAATTCGGAGAGAGGGAGCATACTGGCCAGGATACAAACAACCTCAGTAGAGATCGTTCTGAAACATCTTGTAAGGATTAGTCACCAAGGTCTCTGCATAAAGTCTTCTTATGAATTGTATCCAATAATCGAAAGGTAGCGGAACCAGGTTGTTAGGCGTTAGATTTGAAATTTGGTTTGTAAACACTTTGAATCATTATTACCTATCCATTTCGCAAAAGCAGAGTTTAATTTTATTAATATTTTAATTTTAATTTAATTAATATTTTAGTAGTTTCATATTGTATAATTACTTGATAGTCTGAAACTGAAAGATAAAGACAGTAAAGACGACAGCCTAAGAAAATTACACTAGTGCATAAACTAAGCCATATTACAAGAATATTACAAAATACATTTTATTATTTAGTTAGTTGTTATGTTTGAATTGCAGTAGCTTTGAAATTACGACTGAAATACTTTTTGACTTTTTTTCCTATAAGTATACAATAGGATTAATTTAATTATCCTGATTCATGATAATTTAATTATCAGTAAGAATAACTATATACACATATAGATGTAGACTCAACTTCTGTTCAATGATTATGATGTTTTTCTGTTAGTGTCTGTTACTTCTATTCGATACTGCAATTTACGTGAGATTTAGAGAATTAATAAAAGTGGTATGTGGCTTGATTACTGCTTTTGAAAATTTATATGACTAAGCAATATTCGACTGGTATTTCTGGTGGCAAGCTGTAGAGTCATTTGGTTTTTTTATGCTGGAGACTTGAAAAATATGCAGCTCCCCTGCAGGGATTTGAACTCAAGTGTGCTTCCAGTTACACCACGAAAGCATGCGGAAAGGAGGAAGAAAATACCTTATAAAATTCAGAAAGAAGTTTCTAGAATTATATATTATATAAAAATGTGCAATCGCCTATCGCCTTAAAACTGCTCAAGAATTCTTCATTGTCTAGTAATATAGAGCTTTAAGTTGTATCTACAAGTTATTGAAATGAAACTATTCAAAATTGAGCATAAGCTAGAAAAAATAAGTTTTCATGACTTTTGGATTTAAGATGTGGTTTCAATTAGCCGGACACTACCTAATACGTTCGACATGGGTAGACCCATGGATCATTTAGCCTCCTTATCACCGAGAACACTGCTCAAGATGTACCCCAGGATGCGACCGATTTTATACCGTCGAAATACGTGAATTTCCATTCTAATTTTGAAAAAGAACATATCAGGGAAAAACTCTGAGGGTCTTCCACCCCCTCTCCCTCTAGTTCCGGGTCTTTGGAGAGGACTATGGGCTCGCTAGTATTTTTAGACCCTCCATGCCACACAAACACTGTGGACTCTTGAAAACATCCAAGCCTTCTCCGGGATTCGAATCCGAGCTCAACGATGTAATAGGTCACAGCGCTAACCTCTACATCGATCAGAGATGCAGATTTAAGATGCAGTACTTTTCTTTGAATACTGATGGTAAGATTAATCATCATATTTGCGTAATAATGTCTTTGTGTGCCTTAATATAATGGTTTAAATACTCATAATGATATTATTTTTATTACTGTGTATGTATGTAAGTGATATAAGAAGATATACGTTCCCATTGCCTACGTCATAACATCAAAACATCAAAGCATTTTCAGCGACTTGTGATGAAAAGATATTGGCAAAACATCTGTAAATGAGAAATATATTACCGTATTTTCACCGCTTTATACAGCTTACTTTTTAAACATTCAAGTATTGTTATATGCAAGACTTGCAAAGCATTACAATTTAAGAATGAAACAAATGAAAAGAAATCTAAGAGAGCTCAGCTACCCTCTTCGCCCGCCCCCAAAAGGTCATTTTGCAATATCAAGAAAAGCAAAAGGATTAGTCAGGATAAATAGCGACTTCGGTGACTAATCAGTATTTGCACTGAAAAACAGATCCAAATATCCTCGGTAAGGCGTAAGCGCGCTATTGTCTTTGCGTTACTATATGGATGTCTACGCTGCAGACCATAGTTGGGTTCCCTAGATCATTTTCTTCCATCAAGAAATACTGAAGCTGCCAACACAGACTCGATAGTATGACCAGGCTATTGCTAGGTGCAAAGTTGCTGGTTCATGAGTTGATGCCCGAAGGCACATGACATAATGAGCACTGGACGTGGAGAAAATCTCTGAGGAGAAATCGAAGGCAAGGTAAGGCTCCCACAGTTCCGGATTTCCTATTATTATAAGCAGATGGCGCTACGAGACACACCAGTTCCGCCATACATATACATGAACATTATTTGAGCGGCATTCTTAAAATGTAGAAAACGTTATCAGTAATCTCTATACCTATAATAAAAGAAAGACTCTGTGTCCTTTCATTCGTACTGCGCGTAAGCTAATAGACCCAGGGCTACGAAATTTGGTACGTAGGTGCATCTATACAAGAGCCAGTGCACCTCGAAGCGATTTTTCCAAAATTCGAATCAGATTTGTTATTTATTTTGTCTTTTTTGATGAAATCGCATCATTTTGAATAATTTAATTTTTTTAGAATTGTGGTTTTGGCAACAGTGTTTCATTCAATGATTTGTATACTGAACTGTTGACTGGTGAAAATCAGCACTTAGAAAAATGAGGGCGATTATTTTGTGCAGTTTTTAAATTTAATGTTTCTCTTGGACACTGGACATTTGTTGAGAGAAGGCAACGGGAAGTTGGTTAATTTATCTATTAGGATAATTAATATTTGTGTTAAGGGATATTACTTATTTCATTGTAATTTTTTATATATAATAAATTTTTATTTAAATTTGTGTCTTTTTTTAGAAGGGGGGTGATAAAGTTGTTCTGCAAGCTAAAATTCTGTGCAGTTTTGGACGCAGCTGCTGGACTGTAGGAGAATACGAAATGAAAATCCCTTTCATTATACAGCTGGCGTAGTCGACTTAAAAAAATATCCATGCACTTCATTTATAATGGTTGAAAATCAAATGGTGATAATATGAAAAAGTAACAAAATTTGCAATGAAATTAAAAGGAAGTTACAGTTCAAATTAATTTAACGAAGCGGGTTTCCATAAGCGCAGTATAGGTAGACATATCGAGATCTAATAATAATGAAACATAAGACATTCGGCATTGCTAAACGTAATGTGACAGTTATAAAGTGGAAAGGTATGCTTAGTGTTCAATGAAATTGGTAAAATTATTAAAATAATATGAGGTAAAGTAATACACATATTTTTTACAACGGCAGCTTGCTACGTACGATACATGTGCAAGTTATGGCAAGACATAATAATTGTGAATTGTTTTTCTGCATTCTTGTAAACAAATGCAAGAGATATATTTTGTTTGCATAAAAAGTCCTCTTTATGGACATTTATATTTTAAAATTTGCCACCTTTTTCCACTGTCTCTCGTAGCATTCATAATGTCAGTTGTCTGTTAAGAGAAATGAGGAATATATTGTCTGTTAACTTACCTCAAGCTGAAACTGCAACATTGCTGGGAGTGTTCACAAACTAAGAAATTCCATACTTTTTCTATTGATACAGTACAAAGTCTTTAATTCGGACTCGTCGAGACTTCGGCGATTCCGGATTAGGATTTTTTCCGGATTATAGATCATCAATTTAAATCCGGTAAGATGGCACGCAGAAATTATAAAATTAAAAATATGAAACCGTAATTTATGCAATAAAGAGCAATTATTATCTAAAGGGTATCAAACTTTACAAAAAAAAAGCTTAATATTTATTTGTTTACTTTATTAAATATTTCTTTCAATGTAAGTTCTTTAAGTTGCTTCGTTTTGTGCTAATACTATCTCTTTAATTCTATAAACAGACATAATTTCTTGTTCAGTTCCACTGTTCAATTCCTATAATTGCTGTGTCGAGAATACCGACTAACTTGTCAATCGAAATTTTTTCGTCTTCAATAACTTCTCTGTCACGTTCTTCACTATCGGAAGCGGTACATCGAGACATTCTTTCGCTTTGTAGATCCTGTGGCAGCTCCAGAATCGGAAACTCTTTTTGACATAATCGAAAGTTAAAGCTTAATTTTATAAAATTGCTCTAACAGTCTGCAAAAAATAATAAGCCTGATCCAATTAGAAGATTAAGGAACAACGCAATCTGCAACATTAACTGAAATAGGTAATTAGATAATTTTAGCCTAGCTTATACCGTCCGTTATACATTAAACGCGCATGCGTAAACGTATTATGCGCATGCGCAGAAAGTTTGTAGCTTTGAGATCCGGATTATAGATCATTCCGGATTATGGACGTCCGGATTAAACACTTTGTACTGTTTTCTATGTCCTTATCATAGGAATTTCTCTTACAGAATTGAATAGATCTGTTTTCATGTTATCATACCTAAAATCAATAAAGATGCTTTGAAATTCTAATTTTTTTATTAAATTTATAATGAATACGCATTTTTCTCAAAACTGTTTTAGACGGAATTAGGGCATTATTACTTTGAACCCATACGAAGAGAAAATTTAAATTTGAAACTGCAGTTTTTATTAAACTTCAAGCGTTCAATGGAATTTGCTTTCCACTGAAGGCACTGTACGCTGAAATATTCTTCGTTCAGTGGAAAGTAAATTTCACCGAATTTAGTGGAATTAAATGTTTTAATTATATTATTTAATGGAATTGTTTAACAATTTTTAAATTCTTACGCTTATTTGTTGCTTTGTTTAAGTCAATAACCTAAAATTTATACTCCTATTCCTCATTTCAATTTCTGAAGAAAATTAAAATGGCGTACATGTTTATTTTTCAGTTTCCATTTGCCATCTAATGTACTAAGCGTGAAAGGAGCGGTCATACAAGTCCGTGTTCTCAACCAAGATAATAGTTACAGTGCAGAAGCGGTTTTGCTACTCAATCAGGTTCAAAACATGAGTGGGTTCACATCTGTAGAATTCTTACCTGTGTATTTAATGCCACTTAGGAAGTTTGATATGAGCCATATTTCGTATCAAGTAAGTAATCAGCTATTGTAGCTTGGAACGTTTTCTTGTTTTTGCTTTTAACATCGTCGGATCTTTAAACAGCAAAAGTAATTTATTTTTATTCATTACTGCATTAGGGTATTTATTCAGTATAAAGAAATGTTTTTTAAAGAATAACCGAAATTAGTACAAAAGCGATCTTTGATATACTTTCCGCAACATCTGAGATGTTATCTCATGATAAAGCATTCTAATTGCTTCAGTTTGTTCATTGATGAGAATGGCAAAACATATGCTTTCAAACTTACATTTAATTTGGCTTGATTACTAAAGCAATTAAAGGATCGTTACTTTTCATTGAATAAAATGTATAAAACAAAATATAGTTCTGTAAAAGTTTCAGAATCTTTGACGGAAGGTTACGTGGGGGGGGGACAAGATACAAAAGAAAGCACCTTTTAATTCCATCTTATAATTTGAGATAATTTGAAAGAAAAGGGGTTCTTTTTTTATTAAAATATGGCTTCATGAGCTACTGTACTGGCCCTTATAAATCTAAAGTTCTTCTTGGCTTAGCTGATAGCAGCTTCCAGTTGTGACGTAATAATTATAGTATGCCTCTAGCAGTCATAATGGATCAAAAAACAGAAATGCAGGTGGAAGAGGGAAGTACACAAAAATTTCTCCATTGGTCGCACAGATATAATCCCTCAAAAAAAAAAAAAAAAAAAAAAAAAAAAAAAAAAATTTAAAAAAAAAAAAAAAAAAAAAAAAAAAAAAAAAAAAAAAAAAAAAAAAAAAATTCACTAACTGTTGAGTTCCGTTTCAGTTTTGAGAGGGATTACCCCAGAGGCGACCTGAGGGTCTTCCACCCCACTTTCCCTACCTCCTAGTAAGAGTAAAATTCCTTTTATGTAAATGTTGTAAGAAAAAGTCGAAAAAATTTTAGAGTATTCTTTTATTCTCCTCAACCAGTTGTTTTATTTTTATGATCTTAACTGTCTTCCTCGCTTTCCCTTTTCCTGCCAGAATGCTAATTTCTAGTTCGCTCCTGTTCATTAAGGTAGAAAGAGCTAGTATTGAAAGAAAGATTTTAGACTGTAGAATCAGAGCGTGTTCCATATGCTGCAGGCCACGTTAAAAGTTAATTCTCTTGAGAGCCAATTTATCCGCACTTACGACTAGGCTTTTCACGCTGAGCCAATTTGCGCGTTTTCTATCTGTGTAGCTTTTGCGCTAACCTGCAATTTACTTAGTTAAGTTGAAGTCATTAATTTTGATTTTTGCCATAAATGCTGTCTGGTTCTGTAAGCACAAGTTGTGCCTCTGTTAATTTATCTGAGTTAATAAAAAGGTTTTTAACACCCTTTTAAATCTCTTGTAATTTTCAAGACACAGCGAAAAGTCACTTAAGTCTTCGGAGTTTTCTCTCAGTTTATGTTACCAACGAAAGTGTGACTGTGTAAAATAAAAATACACAAGAAACGCTCATTATTACTGCCAAAGCAGGAATGGAGACTACTTAAAAAGGCCTATATCAGTGAATCATACGACTGAATGGTTATTATTGACAAGCTGTGCGGAAGTGTCTCTTTGCTGACCATCTGTTAGAAAATTTCATGCTTCCATAGGAATGATGCGCGCAAATGCCACATGTGCAGAACTGGCATGCATATAAGTGTCATATCACCTATTTCAGGAAGAAATATCTTCAGAAGAAGAGGTAAAAAGAAAAAAAAATGACTCTAGTTCTCTGATCCGGTAAACTCGTGCAAAATGCAGTCAGATGTAGAGTTGTCATGTGACCATTTAATCCTGATAAAGCAGTAATAAGCTACAGCATAAGCATTTTTAATGACAATGCCATGAGTCTTTTTAGAAACATTTTAAAACATAAGCAACAGCGAATCACATTCAACAAATTCTGAGAGAAACAAAGCCAAGCTGAGCCTTTAAAGTGCCGCTTAGCGGAAAAGATAAAAGGAAGAAAAGATAAATGGTGACCAACAGTAATCTGATTCGTTGTGGAAAAAAATTTCGCATCAAAACAATTTTAATTATCGTTTCTGCTTATAGTGTCTATTTAAATGATTTCCATTTGCTTTGGGTATTAACCTAGGCATAGACAGCTGTTGTAAAGCTCAAATAAACAATCATCTGTGATGCAGAGACGAAATTAATCCATTTTACATTAATTCGTATGGGCAAAATTGTTTTGGTTTACGAACATTTTGGTGGAAAAATCTTCAGAAACGAATTAAATTCGTGAACCGAGGTTTTATACTTTACAGCTGTCATTCCGTGTCATTCATTAATTAGTTCTTAAATGGAAAAATGTCAATAACTGTTATCATTTCTTGTGTATTAACTATCTTTTGAAAGCCACAGTTTAAAAGTGAATAATTTACGAATATTATATCAGTAATATGGTATTAAATCACATAAATATTTTTAAGCTGGTTTAAAATCAATTGCGATGCATTGGGAATTGTTATCCTACTGTCTTTCAACTTCTAATGGAAGTGACATACATCTCTTGAATTAGAAGTTCATTATTAGATATTTAACATGGTTTTGATAATTAAATTACTCGTTCCTATTGCAGATTCTTGAGTATTTCTCCCAAGAATATGATATTGATTTCTTTCTTGTAATTTTAAAAGAATTGTTATCAAAGCTTAACTTGGAATTCAAATATCGTACAAAAATACAGTCGTTTATATCTTTTGAGATGCACATTTCACGGAATTAAGGGCTGAAGGTTCCTGAGATAGATAATTTTGTATCTAAATTAAACATTTATATTACATTCAGATAATTGTTTTATCTAAATTAAACATTTATATTACATTCAGATAATTGTTTTATCTAAATTAAACATTTATATTACATTCAGGTAATTGTTTTATCTAAATTAAACATTTATATTACATTCTAAACATATAATGCTTATCAGTATCATTGCAATCTATTTGACAACAATTTAATTTTCCGTTCTATTATATCAGAATCAGTATCATTGCAATCTATTTGACAACTATTTAATTTTCCGTCTATTATATCAGAATCAGTGTCATTACAATCTATTTGACAACTATTTAATTTTTCGTCTATTATATCAGAATCATTGTCATTGCAATCTATTTGACAACTATTTAATTTTCCGTCTATTATATCAGAATCAGTGTCATTGCAATCTATTTGACAACTATTTAATTTTCCGTCTATTATATCAGAACCAGTGTCATTGCAATCTATTTGACAACTATTTAATTTTCCGTCTATTATATCAGAATCAGTATCATTGCAATCTCTTTGACAACTATTTAATTTTCCGTTCTATTATATCAGAATCATTGTCATTGCAATCTATTTGACAACTATTTAATTTTCCGTCTATTACATCAGAATCAGTGTCATTGCAATCTATTTGACAACTATTTAATTTTCCGTTCTATTATATCAGAATCAGTATCATTGCAATCTATTTGACAACTATTTAATTTTCCGTTCTATTATATCAGAATCAGTATCATTACAATCTATTTGACAACTATTTAATTTTCCGTCTATTATATCAGAATCAGTGTCATTGCAATCTATTTGACAACTATTTAATTTTCCGTCTATTATATCAGAATCAGTATCATTGCAATCTCTTTGACAACTATTTAACTTTCCGTTCTGTTATATCAGAATCAGTATCATTGCAATCTATTTGACAACTATTTAATTTTCCGTTCTATTATATCAGAATCATTGTCATTGCAATCTATTTGACAACTATTTAATTTTCCGTCTATTACATCAGAATCAGTGTCATTGCAATCTATTTGACAACTATTTAATTTTCCGTCTATTATATCCGAATCAGTGTCATTGCAATCTATTTGACAACTATTTAATTTTCCATTCTATTATATCAGAATCAGTATCATTGCAATCTGTTTGACAACTATTTAATTTTTCGTCTATTATATCAGAACTTTTCAGAAATAAATACCATCTGCATAACATACCTATTTAGGTATCCAAGTAATTCTGGCGATACGTTGTAATTTTTATGTAACAATAGCAGGTTTGAATGATTTTCTCGATTTACATATGCAGTTATTTTGTTCTTGCAGCAGGTCATAGACTTTGAGTTGTATTTTGCCTTCAGATTTACTTAATATTACTTAATAAGATTTTAATTAACTATTACTTAAATAAATTTAATTAAATATTACTTAAATACGTTTGTTTCACAGGTTTTAGAAAGTCGCAGTCGATGGGATAAAGCCGCAAAGCAGTTCATCTCCAGCAGGCTTAAATCAGACAAAAGTCAGAAGAAATTCTTTCCTTGCATTCCTGGAAAGAACATGATGTGTAATTTCGCCAGTAACAACTGACGTGTCCTTTCTTCGTCATTTGTAGACTTCCTTTCATCGTAAAATTTGTACACTTAAAATTATATGTCTAACTATATAAATCAGAATGTTCGAGGAATACTACTAACGCATCCAATTAAAAATACTAATATATAAAGCTTGTTTGCACCTGCCAGTGTGTGTGTATTTATTGTGTTCAGGTTTGAGAGACTTAAGTAAGTATTTTAAAACTACTGTTGAAGGATTTTGCTAACTAAGCAATAATCTAAAATATCATTTGAAATCTAACTAAGATTTCAAATGATATTTTAGATAAAAAAAAATTAAATTTTTATTCCTTCTTATTATTTTTCTTACTTGTATTTAAGTTCTAATTTTCAATAATTCATCTAAATGTTTTACATAAATAATGTAATATTTATTGTAATTTTATATGTTAATATAACTATTTAATAGATTTCATTCGAATGAATGCGATATAGTGTAAGCCGCGTCCATAAAAGTTTACACAAAAATTTTCATGAGTCCATTATTTTCGCAAGCGTTGGTCATAGACCTGAATAGTATAATGAAAAGCAGTTGGATTTTAAGGATAATTGGTTTCTGACCATAAAGTTACCAAAATCAGGCAAGAGAATTTTGACATCACACACTTAAAATGACACATTTAAAGTTGTACCTTTTCGCAAAAACTGACAATACATAAACACATAATTATTTACAGAAATTTCGTTTCAGCATAGAAGAGATAAAGTGGCAAGTTTAACTTCCTTAAAAGTAAAATACAGGGGTTGTATTTGGTTCATCAGGTTTTGGATGAATGTATTTCATAAAGTATTACATAAAAGTAGCGAATGATACATTGTTCTAAAAAAGCATATTTTCAGGTTTCTTACGTATCATTACAAATGTCCTATGTGCTACAGTACAAACATTTATACGGGCCGCCCAAACCGAGATAGTGGTTAGCGACGCTGACTGCCGTACTGAAGGGTCCGGGATCACCCACGGGGTGCTGTCCTTCAAAATTGCGCGGAGCGGAGCTAAACAAAGTGATACTGTTACTTGTATGGTGTTGAAAGCTGTTGCCAGCAATAGGCGCAATCTTGCACTTCTTGCCACGATGAATTTCGTGGGCTTGGTTTGATGTTACTGTCAGACAAGTGATATAAATCACAACACACACAACTCATCTATACAGTAATCAGCCGTTGAGGACCACCTGAAAAGTGCCAAATCATCCTGAGCGCAGCGCCCAATCCATCGTCTTGGAACTTCCTTGTTCAGATGACGACGCACTTCTTTATGCCAATAGGGTGGAGATTTGTCTTTTTTAAATAAGAAGTTTGGGAAACAGTCAGTATTGCAACATGTATAAGTACATTGTACATATCAGAAGGTTTTCAGGAAAAGTGTAGGGCCTGTATACTTTGCTATGGAAAACATCACAGAAAACATTTACCTATGGAGAATCTCTTTCAATCTGTGCTGTAATATTGGGATTTGCCGTGCTTCATATGCGGACGTTGTGACGATTCACTTGATCATGTAGGTGGAACGTCACCTCATGACTAAATACGAGTCGGGGGTAGGTCAATTTACCACCTTCCATTGCTTCCTAGAAAAGGACACGAAGCTGGCGTTTGATGGGGCGCTCGCTTAGTCGTAAACATTGCAGTAGCTGTGTATGTGATATGGTTTCTGATATAATCGATTGCGCAGAATCTTCCGCACAGTTGGTTTAGGAATGCCCAGTACGCAATTTGCAAAACGTTTAGATTTCTTTGGGTTATGGAAGAACGCTTCTCAGATACTCTCCACTGTTTCAACTGCAACAGATGGGCATACGGAGGATTTTCCTTTACAGAGGCAACCTGTGTCCTTCAGCTGTCGATACCACTGCAGAATGCTTTTGGGAGAATGGTGGGTGTATGCTTACGATCGTCGGAACGCATGCTGCACGTTAGTGATGGATTCAGTCTTCTAATATTGCAACAGACAAAATGTGTTCTCTTGAATAGTCGCCATTTTGAAAAATATTTTTACCCTGCCGCCTGATGAATGACAGTGAAACTTGTAACGACATAAATTAAACTTTAAAATATATTCGTTTCATCGGTTATTAGTACAACAGGGTGAGCATTATACATTTGAAGCTATAAAACGTCAGAATCCTCTAAATCGTTTGTAATCACGCTGTATGATGGATTATTTTCTTTCACTTGTAACCTACGAAATTTAATTTTGAATTACTTTAAAAAAGAAACTTTTGTTAAACAGTAGCTTTGCTTATTTATTGTCTAAAATGAATTCTTGTTTAAAATACACAATTAGAATATTTGATCCTTTTTTTTTGAAGATCTAATCCAAGGGATCAAGTATCTCTATGAGTAAACTCCGTGGAATGAAAAGGCATATGATGAAATGAATTTATAGATTGAATTCTATGTAATAAGTATAAAATATAATTGTTTTCAAGCTGTTCGAATTTAGTTGTAAAAATGTTTATTGTTTGTTTGTTTGTTTGTTATTGTATTTGTTTGTTTGTAATTTTGCATATAATTTATGCATAAAGTATGCAATCATTATAACGTTTCCGGAATTTTATGTAATCTTACCCCAAGAAAACTAATCATTATATATTATACTATATAACGGTTTGCGCCGGCCAGTCGGTATAGTGGTCAGGGGAGCTGACTGCGATACCAAAGGGCCTGGGTTCGAATCCCGGAGAAGGCATGGTTGTAACTGTCCGTCCCTTCATAGGAAAGGCGATGGTGGCCCACCTATTAAATGCCTCCATAATAAAGAGACCACCACATCTGGCCTTGTATAGATTAATGGACTGGGTTACATTTGTAATGGTTCACAATCTGCCACGAGGGGAAAATATATATATGTAACGGTTTGCACATGTAAAGCAAAATACATATCCCATCAAATTTGAAAGACAGAAACCGAAAACTGCAAGAGAGTTCATCTGATAATGAATATAATGCTTAGAAAATGCACAAATCAAGAAAAAAGGAATTTTATTCTGAGGAACTTAATGACTTTACATTACAGGATTCTTGCTTGAACGTGAATACTTTTGTTACGTTAAACAGTCAAACTTCAACGAAAAGGAAATTTTTTTTTCTTTTTTTTTTTTTAATCTGGGTGAATAAAAAATAATTGAGTTTTTTGGACATGAAGGCAATTTTTCAAAAAGAAATTATGCTATTTTGTTTGATCATTTATTTTCTCTGGAAAAGGTTCATAAAATGCAGTTACTGAGAAAGTCTGTACTTTTTCAAATCTAACACAGCAAAAGGAGTTTTAAGAACGGTTATTGCCAATCACCTTTCAGTTTGACGCTTCATTGTTTGAAAATATCTGCTAATTTTTAATACTGTCGTTTTCTAAAGTTTCACTCAGAGCTGTTGACAGTATAACTGGTATGCAATATGCTCCTAAGTTTTGAAAACAAATTCATTTTACAATTTAAATTTTAGTTTCATTAATTAATTTGTGTTCATAATTTTTATGCAGATTCACGTTTTAAAGAAAAGGAGTTTGCAGTTCCAGTTCTAATTATAATTATGGACTAAAAATAAAAATTCTAAATTACTTATATTAAATTAAACTTTTTAATAATAAATATTAAATTATAATAAAAAAAAACTAAATAAAATTATTATTTATGTTAAAAATCATAAAATAAATATTTATAAATTATTTATATGAAATTATTTAAATATCATTTATAAGTTCCATTAGCTGTGTAATGAAACTTTTATTCCTAATATCTTTACTAGGACGAAGTGTCCCTAATGAAAGTATCAATTATTCCTTGATACAGAAGTATATGCTTGATTCCATTCTTAAAAAGCTGAAATTTGCAGTTCATTGAAGCATAATTTGTTTACTGGCCATTAAAATGGATGAATTTACTGAAAGTTCTGTTAAATTTTCTTAAAAAATGTCAGTTTGCAGCACAGAAGAAAATTAAAAACTGGTGAAAAGGAACAAATATTCTTATACTCTACCATTATACGAGATTTAATCTACAAAGAGAAATTGGCGAAAAACTATTTTCAAAAATGTTTTAAATATTTACGGTACTAGAAAAAAAAATGCACTTTATTAAAATTAATTTAGGATATTGATATCATTAGACTGACTCATCTCTACAAATTAGATTACATTATTTGAATATGGAAAAATACGCAAAGGCTATGCCTAAGGGATCTTTGTAAGGGATTCTGGTTTGTAGTTACTTAAATAGGGAAAGCATGGAGCCAGTCAGTTAACCTAGTTTCTCATCCCGGTCGAGTTACCAGTATTCAGCGGTCTTAACCACAACAATAAAATGGAACTCCAATTTTAAACACGCGAAATCCGGCTTGTCAAGCTTCTTCCTGTTAAAACTCTCTGCGAAGATCTTGTCAAAAAAGGATCAGTCAAATGAGCGAACTAGGCCTCTTCTTTAGGCCTGATACAGAGGATATAATGTAGATTTGTATATTTTACAAAAAATATTAAAAGCAATTTCAAATAAAACAACGCAGTTGCTGTCTATGAGATTTTAATGCCATTAAATTCGAAAATTTTTGTATGTAATTATTATGCTGATAAATGAATGATAGCAAAGTTTGATTTTTCAAGAAAATTTTGAATTTAAATATTTATTCTTATATAGTTTAAAATTACACCTTGAAAGGTTTTTGAAAAGCAAACTAGTTCAATTTAGTTTTAATTAAAAAGAGTGCCGCCACGAGAGAAGAATATTTCAATTCAACAGCCTTTCTGCAATAAAGATACCAATTATTACTAATATTTTCCTATAATGTCATTCGAAGGATGTTCATTATCTAAAGTAATGTAACAAAAAATTGATAAAATTAAATTCTTGTTGTGGCTAACAGAATGAAATTTGGGTCATCAGAAATAATCTGTCGTATTATTTTGCTACATAAAAAAATATTTAAGTAACATTAATTAGTTAATTCAAAATAAATGATGGCACTATAAGAGACTGGTTCGTTTTGTTTCAAACTCTAATATAGAAAATGTATGTTCTTTGTATTTCAAATTATTATTTCATGGAAATTGATTTTGAATACTGAATGTAAAACTGAAAAATATGTATTAAAGCACTTTATTAGATTGGTAAAGGAAATAATGTAATGTTTA